ATATAAAACTTATTTCTGAAATCCTCAAAAATACGATCTTTGAACCTTTCTTACTATATCTCAACTTATTTTTTTCTGTTTAAAATTTCTACAGCTTATGTACACCACTTGTTTACATACACTGTGCGATTTTCAGGAAAATCTATCGAGGATTTTTTTTGGCTGACGGACCAGGTCCCACCTTAAGTTTAGTAAGAAGTGAGGAATGACATGTTCAAAATGGTTTACTTCAATTGGCCAACTCTAACTAATAGAGAGGTTAAGATAGACGTTTTATTAAAAAACATGAACGCGTAGAATTATGGTCCTCTATGGATTGGTTCTCCCATTTGTAGTGTTTACTCGGCAAATTGAGTGTAAAGGTACACAGAAAATAATTGTAATTAGGTCCCTGGGAAAATGAAATGAGAACAGAAGAGGAGTCACAGTTTTAAGTGATGTTGACCCCATTTTCCCTTTTTAAAAAAATGTTTTTTTAATATACATCTGGAATCCGGATCAAGACAATATATTCTGAAAAAGTTTGAGAAAAAACAGAAAATATTTGGCAAAGTTTGTGGCTCATAAGAGGGGCAAGAAAGAAAGCTTTTCAAAATAAATGTGATTGTTCTACTTTGAATGCAGTATTTCATTCATTCTCTGCAATCGATCTAAAACTCGCCGGGCAAGAGCTCTAAACAAAAATCAATATATTTACACTTTGCCTTGCATGACGTCTTACGCTTCATGCTTACTATGACTCGGGTCCCAAAATATTTTGGCTGAGATATCTTAGTCGAGATGTCTTGAGAAATTGTGAATTTACGTTACAATTCTAAATACCTGTAACTCTAAAGCGTTTTATGTAAGAGCTCTTAGGAGTATAGTGTAAATCCAGCTACTCACCGCATCATCTTCATACAACTCTTCAGCCAAGAAGCCATGTATACACAGCCATAATATTCCAGAAATTGACAATAGATACATGGTGTCCCCTCCTGAAAACAATCAAGCTCGATCACTAGTCTTTGCTCAATATAGCAAAACATGTATCTAAATGGTTAAATTTTGGTTTGAATAGTTTCATTTTATTGAGATAAATTAATTGTTAAGTTAAAGTTGTATGGACATCTTCAAACTTGGAACAATATGTATGGGCAAATTTACGATAATTGATATTTTCAAATATAGTCAAATTCTGTTATTCTACCAAAGCCTGCGCCATGTGTGTTAATATCAACAACATTTTATGTGTGCTATTTTAATGTCAACACAACTGGCTATTATGACCATGCAATATATACAGAAAAATTGCTTATTAATTCTTAAAAACAGCTTTAACAATCAAAGTTTGCTATAACAAACTCAGACAACATAACAAATAATGTATCTTGTGGTCCAATAATTTCCAACTTCTTAATGAAGTATGTTTGTTACCAGCTCTCAAAAGAGATTTGTTTGATATTTCATACTCATAAAAAGAACACATTTTATCATGTCCATATAATTTGTATCCTCCAACACATACTCAACACATTCAATTTATTAAGAATCTAGATATAATTGAGAATTTATATAACAATCATTTAAATACTACATTGGATAAATTTCATTTTCCAAAATAATTATTTGAAATCGTATCGGTGCGTAGCTGAAATCTGACTGTTTTGAAGATATAAAAAATTGGACAGCAAAACCTAAATTCATCAAAAATAACAATATTTCGTCTAATGTTTTCCATGTCTGTTATTTAAAAGGTAACCCCTAAAGCCACTTTCTGGTGAAGCTTTCAACAAATTATCCATCAACAACCTATCAACAACATTTATTTAAGCTGTGAGTTGGAGAATACAAATTATATGGACATTATAAGATATATTCTGTTTTACAAGCATGAAATATCAAACAACCCCCTTTCAAGAGCATGGTTGCAAACATTCTCTATTAACAAGTTAGAAATTATCGAAGCACATGATACATTCTTTTTTATGTTGTCTGAGTTTATATAAGAAAATTTTGAGTTTTGTCCAAAAAATCATTGTTAAAGCTGTTTTTAAGAATCAATAAGCAATATTTTCCGTATATACCGTATGGTCATGATAGCCAGTTGTGTTGACATTAGAATATCATTTATAATCATAATCATATCATAATCTTATTCTCTTGCCTACACATTTACATTGTACATGTCTACAACATTGTAATTTTATATAGCAAACAGTTTCTTGAATACAATCAAAAATCAGTTATAGTACAATCAAACTGCCAATGTATATTTTGAAAAAAAAATATACAAAATAAGACAGATTGTCAAACTTATTCTCTAAATGGTTTTCTCCTCTTAAATGAAAATGAGTGTAATTGGACATGCATGTTTAGAAAATCTCATAGGGAGAACACTGACATTTAGAACATTTTGACAGAATCTTTCAATTAAATGTAGAAAATATAATTCTTCATCAATACAACAATTATTTAATACATTATGATGCTATTCTGAAATGACTTTTTTATTTTAATTTGAGAAACATATTTTGTCTTACCTTCACAGTGTGGTGGACATCAAATGGAGAACAAATGCTCAGATGCTGGATTTTAAATGTCTTAATACCTAATAGGATATTGAACCTTATCCTATTAGGTTACTTGGTTTACATAACATTTTTATCCCAATTTAAGAAAATCTATTTCACTGAGCTTAATTGTTATAACATCAAATACGTATGTGATTTAATGCAGGTCATATACCTGCATCTGCTTTTTATCATTTCGATGTGGATCATCTGAGATTTAGCCCATGTGGTGAAACACATTTCATTTTCAATTTTATGTCACCGCATGACATTCCGCATGTTAATGCCTTGCTAGAAATGCTATAAAAGACTATACAATGTATGGTAATTTGACAGAAAATTATTATGAGACTAAAAGAACATTGATTACTGAACTATGAACTAGAAGATAGGCTACCAGGATTTATTTGATTTTAAGTGAAAATAATATTATATTATAAAATAGATATGCTTCCGAATAAGATGTTATATCTTGCGAAATCTTTAAAGTAACCTCATTTTTATTTGTGTATATGAGGGCAAACTAGCGTAATATAAATGACCACATCTGCACTATGATTCCAATACACCATTGGAAAGCTGAGAGTGTCAGCTTTGAGAATCCATTCAGGTCATTTATGAGTTTATTGCCGTATAAAAGAAGACATATACTCCAAGCTTTTTCATAGCACATCCTTAATTGTAGGTCCATTGCTATACAAAATGTTTAAAAAGATACACATACTGTGTACACCAAGATATTCAGCAGACCCCGGGGTATGTACCCCTGCTATGTGTATATATGTATATATTAGTGTTCTAATTATAGCAAAGGAATATGAAATAAACTACAAACCAACTTTTGTTTTTTATGTATTTTTTACATACAACCACCCTCCAACCTTCACTTGGACTTAGGGGAGAAGCATAGTTACACAATTCATCATAGAGAGTGACAAAAATGTATACATTTTTCTGTTTTATGTGAAAAAACAATGAAAAATGTGATGTAAAAAAGAAAGTTGGCATTATTTTCATGGATATTTGGGTGTTTACATAAAGAAAAAATGTAAACATAACCATTAAGTTAGAACATGATAATTACTGTTGTTAGAACTTAGATTGAAAATAGAAACTGATTGTCAAAATAATTTTTGGTTGAAAAAGCATGATTGTTTTCTTCATTTTTTCCATGATGATGAAAGGGATAATACGAAATTTTGCAATCTGTGAAAATGTGAATGGAGGTTAGATTCTCAAAGCTGATACTCTCAGCTTTCCAATGGTGTAATGGAACTTTAGTGAAGTAAAGGTGATTTATGTTTCATAAGGAGCTCACTTAGAGGCTCTACTTTGCACAAGTAGTATTATATTCCAATCCCCACTTGAGACGTCCCTGGTTTAATATTACATGTACTTCAAAGATGTTAAGTGATCTAGTCAAAATAAGCTTCTGGTTGTTATAAAATTAGATGGCTTAAAATAAAATAGATAGAACTTTTTAAAAAGTCATAAAGAGCTTAGTTACATCTTCAAAGATGTTTAATGATTTAAGTGATGTATATTCCAAGTAGTATTAGAATAAGCGGCTTGTAGATTGATATATACAGGGCGTCAAATAAGTCTGTTCTCCCCCTTAACTTTTTTTAATTCAGAAATAACATAGGGTTTACTGATCATACACCAAATATAGTGATTGGTTGAATTCTATTTTTTAATAGTCTGTATGTCTTCCCCAGAAGCTCACATGGCCTCAATTCTTGGTGGATATGATTCTGTACAAATCATTCAGAACATTTAATTTTGGCTGTTATTAACTATTTTGTGATGAAATATGCCCTGATTCAAAAGCTTCCTTGCATGATACGCATTTTACTCTGTAACGATATTGAGAAATATGGAAATCACCAAATGTTGGCATTGTCACTGCAGTATCAACGTTTCGCTTTTCATTCACTATACCTGGTAATTTTACTAGTTTTTACAACCTTACAAGAAACATTGTAGCAATTTTATTAGGAGGAGTTCATGATTGAATTTTTGAGGGTGATCAGCATTTTCAAAAAGCTTTAATATGATACATGAGAAAGTATGATAACTTCAAAGATAAAATGAAAATTATAGATTACTTTTAAAAATGAAGTAAATGCCAATAAATCATTCAAAGATGTATTTTGATAACCCAACCAGATGGGTATGAAATGTTTATAAAAATCAATCGCAATCATGACTTTTTGCATATAGCAGGAAACATTTTTACATGCTGCACATAAAATTTCACAACCTGTGAAATCACTGGTTACCCAGATCATATTCAGGAATACTAGTACTCAAATTACAGACAGAGTGTGCAAATACATATATAACAGAAAATTGATAAGTATGTTGAAATGACTTGTATCCTAGAATAAATATGCATGTTTTTGTTTTGTGTTCCCATTCGGGAATTGCTGCACCAGTGTGTTTGCTGCATGGCTTTGTCATTTTCTCCTTCCTTGGTAACATGGCTGGCATCATGAATACCACTGTGGATAAAGTCGTTGATAGCGGTAGGGAAATAACTTTTTCACGATGGGCATCTTAGCCGAACTCCCGTGCAGTGATATATCACTGCGGCGGGCAGGTATCTCACCGTAAGCATGGTAACATCGTAATAAACAACTGACGTAATTGGTTCTAGTCCCATGCTCAGGTCGCGTGATTGTAAAATTCAGACAATTCCATTGGTTGAATTGCGCGTATTAACTAATAAACAACACGTGCGGTAAATTTTATCAACACAACTTTTACTCAGAATTCCTTCCGCGGGGATTTCCTCTTATATTTCATTGATTTTGGAATATTTTGACAAAATAATTATTGGTGAACATAAAATAACATATATTTTATAAGTTGTGTGAAAAACAAGTACATCTGTGACAAAAAGGGGGACTATCTTCCCCAAATGTTGGGGATTCCATAATCTGCCCGCCGCAGTGTCTATACCGAGACACTGCAAAGGAGTTCGCATCTTAGCCTATCTATTTTTGCATTTTTGTGTTCATAAGTGATAATATATAAGTACTTTGAATGAGTTGAAAGCTGAGCATCATAGCAGAGTTAAATTGAAGTAGATTCACACTACAGGCTACAGTAACAACAACATAAATGATATACAACACTAATAAATAGATATGCATGTATGCTATGTAAAGTTTATCTTTGTCTTTTAGGGCCAGGCCTTGCATTTATAGTTTATCTTTGTCTTTTAGGGCAAGGCCTTGCATTTATAGTTTATCTTTGTCTTTTAGGGCAAGGCCTTGCATTTATAGTTTATCTTTGTCTTTTAGGGCAAGGCCTTGTATTTATAGATTATCTTTGTCTTTTAGGGCAAGGCCTTGCATTTATAGTTTATCTTTGTCTTTTAGGGCAAGGCCTTGCATTTATAGTTTATCTTTGTCTTTTAGGGCAAGGCCTTGCATTTATAGTTTATCTTTGTCTTTTAGGGCAAGGCCTTGCATTTATAGTTTATCTTTGTCTTTTAGGGCAAGGCCTTGCATTTATAGTTTATCTTTGTCTTTTAGGGCAAGGCCTTGCATTTATAGTGTACCCATTTGCTGTGACAATGATGCCTGTGTCTCCTCTGTGGGCCATCCTGTTTTTTCATACTCATAAAACTTGGACTGGATAGTCAGGTCAGAAGCATGCTACCTTTTAATAGAGCTAAACCATGTATGATCTTAAATAAATTCTTTGATCTTTTGCATAGTATATCAGTAAGACAATCATGACACAATATTTTGTTTTGAACCTTGTAGCTAGTTTCATCTCACATTTGAATTCCCAATGATTATTGTTTAGTGATTATATTATATTATTCAGTTCTAAACGCGCAAGGTATCTACTTATATGATGTTTTTAATGGGTTTTCGTAAAACACCGACCGCCGACCACCGACCAGTCACTCTCCACAGTTGGGTACATGTGGTCGGTGGTCGGCTGACAGTCTTTTACATAAAGATGAAAAAATGCAAAATTAGAAGTAAAACTAAAACTGGGAATCCAATGACTATAGTACCTTTACTAGGTCGTGATTTAAAAATGTATAATTATCATTTCAAATCACGATGAAAACGTTACATCGTCGTGGTGTGTAATGTCATATTTTTAAGTGATGTTTCAGTTGTTAGAAGACAAATTTCATCCTGGTTAGTCACTTTGGAAAAAAACGCACGTAACATTGCATTAAGTTCATTCTTCATTCATATGAAACGCAACAAAAACACACAAACATCGTCGATGTTGACGTCGTAACGTTATGTTTGATTTCTCAGTTGTTAAACGTCAACTGGTAAAAACTACATTTAATATGACAAAAAAAAGCTTTCTAATGGTGTACTGAAATGGTAAGTCACTTTTAATCTCGATAAGAGAACGCATGTAACATTATATTGTGTTCAGTATTCAGTAGGCTATGACGATAACAAATCATTTTTGTTTCGAAATTGTTAAATTTCAGTAAAAATTAGGATAGATTCCCGTAGAAACGATAGGTTGGTTAATGATAGGTTAGGACCTAAGGCAGGGCAATTAATCGAGAGGAGACGGTCATGACCAATTTGTTTGCTTGCCATTCGTTGCAAGGTACATTCAAAATCAAATTATTAATATTCTAAGGCTACAAATATGTTCGGTCTTTTACATGATATGGTCGGTCTTTTACACATTTTCTTCAAACCCTGTTTTGAGGCTACCAGTGGAAAACACCGACCGGTAGGTGGTCGGTGGGGTCGGTCTTTTCCGAAAACCCATTTTTAATAGAATAGTTGACTTGTGTTTGGTGATTGTGTCAACATCTGTAACAAATGGTTACATTTTTGTTATCATGTCAAGTTAATGCCTTGTTTCTTTTTTAGTTTGGTTGGAAATACCGTCATGACATCCATAATAGACCAATTTCCACATGTTCGGAAAAAGAAGACATTCATAATTCTCTTCATCTCCATTTTGTTCTTCCTTTGTGGTCTGACATTGACCTGTAGGGTGAGCACATATAAAAGGTCATATAATTTTGGTTACCTGGGAATGGCATCACAATATTGAGTCCTGGATCCAGGCTTACTAGCTATATCAAAGATTTGGACCTGTGCAGTTATTCACAAAAAAGTGTTCTTAATTTTTTTCATATAATGAACACTTAATAAGCAATCTGATTTGTTGAGAGTATTTGACCATTGCAGTGTTGATATTAATGTTTAAGTTGCCATTATGATACAAGGTTCAAATCAATCATAACAAATAAGTGGTTGTTTGATGTTGATTGGATGTTGATGTTCACATTTGCTGTTTACAGGGATGTGCCTACATGTTACAGTTAATGGACACATATTATGGAGGATGGGCCATTCTCATAATAGGAATTGTTGAGAGCATATCAATAGCTTGGATTTATGGTAATTTGTACATATATTTTATTTCATTTGGTCTATTTGGGACTTGATTAATGTGAACAGTCTAATCAATTTATGTATGTATCTTCTCAGTTCAATAGATAAATAATATAAATATGAATAAATAACATTGTTTTATTAAAAACTTGTGTAATGTTGATTGAATGTAGGTAATGTTCATAGAATATTTTCCTATTGCAGGGAGGGGCCTACATGTTACAGTTAATGGACACATATTGTGGTGGATGGGCCATTCTCATAATAGGAATTGTTAAGAGCATATCTATAGCTTGGATTTATGGTAAGCTGTATATACACTATATTTCCTAGTGGGGATATGGTGACTTAATTAATGTGAACAGTCTTATACACATATGTACGATATTTTCCATATACAGTAAAACCTGTTTAAGTGAAGTACCTTTGGTATCTCTAAAAAGTGCTCCACTTATCTTGAGAGGTGTTCCACATATAGAAGTTCATTTAACATTAAGTTAGTTTGTCTTGGGACTCTGAAAGGTGTTCCACTAACATAGGCGTTCCACTTTACAGGTTTCACTATATCTCTATTATTAGCATTACATGTATATAAATAAATACAGATAGACTTGCAGGGGGCTACCTTTAACTGGTACATGTCTAATTAATAAACAATTAATTTCAGGAGCAGATAGATTCATGAATGACATTGCATTGAGTAAAATGTAGCAAAGCTTATATATGTGAACACCTCACAGAAGTGAACAGTTTTATATTTTAACAGTTCTGATTTTTCTATTTTGATATCCCATTGACTCACATATTATCTGAACATGTCAGTGCTATAATTATGCAAACGCCTTTCATTGTAAGCACCTTTAGCTGGTTCAAGTGGTGTTCACTTTGTAGAGGTTCTATTGTTTTACTGTTTGTTTATATCCTCTCAAGAATGGCTTTCACTTCCTCATAAGCATTACACTGAGGAGTGACACCACTTTCACATTTTGACTTCAAATAGCTCAAGAATGACTCGGACACCTTTGCATCATTCAAAAGTTGACGCCCTTCGGGTGATTTCAACTGTTTGACAATCCTGTTGAGAACTTTCATGTCATTGTGTGTGAATATTGAAGGATGTGGATGATAGTCCAAGAATTGGGAATCAGTGATTGATGGCTCATATTTTGTGTACATAACGTTGGTTGTTGGGAAATGCATGTGTGATAAAACAGCACCTCCTTGGTGAATGCAGTAAAATGCAATGGCTTTGTTAGTCAGATCCATGTTAAAGCGTCCCATGCAGTTTTTGATATGTTGTACTAATGAGCCACCAGCTTCTGTTTTTAAGGCAGCAACAATTTTGTCAGTGAGAGTTATGAATTGTTCATTGATGTTGACTGTATTTAATTCAACCCCAGCTTTGTTGGCAATTGATTCATTAAGATCTTTGAAAATGTCTTCAAAGTCCCAATCATCTGGCCAATCCCGCTCTTCTTGACGAGTGCGTTTCAGGTTAAATGCTGAAATGAGGAGCTTTATCATAAAAGTTAGTTCGGACCCCTCAGGGACGTCCAACAGTTTAATACAGTGGATATCATTCATGGTTTTCAAGACATCTTCAAAACATCTCGCTATTGGAACATCTTTGCCTTGTGTTGTAGGGCATTTTTCGTTGTACATGATGGTTTTGGAGACATATGACTTATTGAAGTCAACCATGTCTAGCTGATCTTCTCTTGGCATGTATTTCAGCATCATGTGGATTTTCTTGTGTTCTTTTGTTGATGCCCTCACTCGTTGAACTTCCACAGAACTGGAAGTCATCAGCCAGCAGTAACTACAAGGGGTGGATGTAGGGATAGTAGACATATTGCTATATGATTGGTTGTAAAACTTTGCACCATCAGGGGGTTTTGGAACGAGAAGACATTGGTCATTGTTTCTCAATCGTCCATACTTTTCCTTATTCATGAATTCACAATCAATCTTCAGTGCAAATGTCACATCTACACTTGAGACACATAGTGGCCCATGTACATAAAACATGATATTTGGACCATTTTCGCTGTTACGTCCAGCAATATATCGATCCTCATTACCCTTCATAGCTATGTAGTCCTCTCCAACATTGTCAATCAAATCTTTACTGTATTTGTAAAGTATTTGACGCCCCAATATATACCAATATAATCAAATTCATCGGCTTCGAGAATTTTTGTACCATCATGAAAACTGCCACACTCACACTTTTCGTCAACTGCCATAAAAGGATCAATCTCTTTTGCCGTGTCTAAAATACTTTGAACAATGTCAGATATATATTTACGTTGCTCTTCAATTTCTTCATCAGTTCCTTTGATTTTAGCTTCACCGTGTACATGGCTGATAAACTCAGCAATTCTCAAGTCTTCTGTATCCGAATCAGCCATTTTTAAGACATACATGTATGTATAAATTTAACCATATCAACTGACAATGCACTTATATCTGTGCTTAAAAAGCAAAGCAAATTACCTTTAGACTGAGTCTAGACACATTCATTCACAGCTATTCTGAAGTACATTTGTATTTTACTAGAACATATCTATAATCTTAACGTTTTACTATTTGAACAGTAAATCCATTTCAGTACTTGAACCTTTTAAAGTTAAGTACATGGCAGTAAAAAGACAGTAAAATATCTCCTCAAAAATTTATAGTAAATGTAAATGACTTCACATTCCAAAACCAAAACATTTATTTTTGTCAAACGAAGATCTTTGGTATAGGGAACAGTTCCATCCATCTGTCCATACATCCGTATATCAGCCAGTCCAGGCAATATTGTTTATATTTTATATGTATATGCCCCATGTGAGTACAAGTTCTGCTCAACAGTCCATTTTCAATGGCCACCTGTTTTAAAATGGCTCATTTTACTGTCAAATATAGTCCTTCTTATCGCAGTAATTAATTAATACCGCCTGTACAAAACTTTCAAAACTTTCACCCATTAAGTGTCATTGATTGCACTCATTTGCATACAGCCAATCAGCGCATCTATTTTCCTCACTTTATGGAAAAAAGAAATAAGGTTCATTTTTTCATCAGTATATATTAGGGGTTATTTATGATTTATGTTTTCAATATGTTGCCCTTTGTGTTGTATATTGATGTTTTGATATATCAATTAATGAATGGTCAACATACTTAAAATGTATGTACCCCTAAAATGATATTTAGAATGAATTGCATAGTCAAACTTAAATGCACTGAATGACCTTAATTTTAATCCCAATGATCTAATTTTATTTTGGGTATATTCATGATTGATAAAAGTATTTATTTCCATGATATGTTCAATGAAACCTTTGGGGGCATCTCTGCGTACTTGGGGTAATGGATCCTTAGGCTATAGTTATGGTTCTACTCATGTATATAACTTATTTATGATTATTTTCAGTTTATTTATTCAGAACCAGACCATTCAGATTTTTTTGTTCTGTGACATCTGAGACCATCATAAATATATATCATTATGTTAGTCTCAGGTGACATCTACAAACATACATCCATTTATTGCTGTGATGCATCATTTCATGTGATTTTAATAAATAAATGAAAAATTTTGTGAGATGAGATTATGTCCTGTTTCAGGTGAGCTGAAATGGTGTGCCAATAAGCCTGACCCCTGGCTATTCAACCCCTGGGTACTCCACCCCTGGTGGTGAAAGTATAGATGGGAGGAGAACTCCAGGATCTCAAGCTACAGGGCCAGGAACATCATACATCTCAGAAGCCAATAGTTCAGTGTCATACGAAAGTGTCGTGTAAATCAGCATCCTGAATACCGCTGAAGAAAATTAAAACTAGAAAGGAAATAATAAAAAGGCTGTCTAGATGGTTTTTGCTGAAAAATGTACATTTTATTTAATATCTAATAATGTCTAAACAGTTGCTTGAGAGATGCAATCTTATTATTAGGTCTTCTATGAATCATACAGTCATACAGCATGAGCCAAAAAACAACCTTAACAAATGTTAATAATCAGTCATCCAACATAGGTTTAAAGTCATATTTTAAAGTTCTACACAGTGTAGAACTGAGTACCCAACTCCTAAACACATATAGATCTGTCTGTATATAAAACTTGTTAAGTACATCTGGGACATTACGCATGTAAATCTTGGACATTAAACTTGATATGTAAAGCTGTGACATTAGATTAAACATGCAGATCTGTAGCAATAAACTTGATATGTAAATCTGTGACATTAAACTTGATATGTAGATATGTGACATCTGACATTTGATATGTATATCTTAGACATTAAATTTGATATGCACATCTGGGACACTTAAACTTGGTATGTAGATATGTGGCATTAAAGATATGTAGATCTGTAACATTAAATTTGATATGTAAATCTGTGACATTAAACTTGATATGTAGATCTGGGACATTAAACTTGATATGTACATCTATGACATTTGATATGTACATCTATGACACTTGATATGTACATCTATGACATTGTACTTGATTTGCAGGTCTGTGATATTACATTTGATATTTTATAGATTATATTTGTACATTGTACTTGACATGTAGATTTTTGACATTGAAACTCAATACATGTATAACTGTAACATTTATGAATTGTGGATCTGATATTGAGTAACTTACTATGTGTTTATATAAGCTTATTTATAACATTAAACTCAAAATGACATTGAAGTCTTGTAGATCTTTGATAATGTGGATTTGTGCAGAATTCAAATGGAGATTTTGTTGTTCACTATATATTCAGCAATACTCATATCACTCTTTTAGTTCTTCCTAATGTACTGTAATCAATGACTAAAAAAAAACTTGTCAGCGAGTTTGTTTTATGCAAAGATTTATTTATTCAATTGCATTTTAGTGTTCAAATAATGAAGATAACTTATGAAATGCAGAAAGACCATTGAATTGAAGAATTTTAGATGAATGATTCTCTTGGATATTGCTGCACTTGTTGTGTCGATACTGTACATATATGGTATGTACAGTATATTTGTATATTTATACTTGGAACAATCTCAATACAAAATCTATGACAAGTTGTGTTGAGGCAGACTGGTAGTTTGTATGGACTTCTACAGACCTAGTGTATTCATGATATTCCATATTTATTGGCTGGATTTACCTTGCCCTACTTTGATATAATGTTCTGTTGTGTTGTATTATTATATAGATGTCACATGTTGTGTTAGATATCATAAGGGCCAAAAGGTTCATGTGTTTATACACAGAAAGAGTAGAGGTCATTTATGTTTTCATTTTTATTCTCTAAAATTATGTTAATATAATGTTAACTAACATTTTTGTTTTAGATTAATTTTGTCAATAAAATACTGTGTAATACTAAAAGTAACCCATTGTAGCTTTTAACTGAGTAGACTAGATGTTATGGTACTCTGTATTTGTCTTTAATTTGGCGCTACTTAATTTGGTGATTTTAGAATATCAGATATATTGGCATCTATATAATTTGGCAGTTTTTCAAGGGAAGAATCTCATATATATTTAATTTCAAGATACTATATTATCAGTGTTGTTGATTAACAATATCTTCCAATATATATATACCGGACAAAAAAAACATGCCAAATTCCTGAGGATTTTGGCAAATAGTTAATTTGACTATTTTTTGATTCACCAAATTAAAACGCTCGCCAAATTTAAAAAAAAAAAAACAGTAAGCCTCCTAATGTAACTAATAATTACTTATGAACAGCATATTTTGTTTTTTCCATAAATACATAAATAATTTTGCATTGATGTACATGAACAAGGAGAAAACTGTATGGAAATGCTTTATTAGTCTGGAGATCATTTTTCGGTTTTTATGTGCACTTATTTTAGTGATAAGACATTCCCTCTTTTTTGATTTCCCATAATCCTTTGTACATCGTCTGCTAATAGTACAATAACGTCATTCCAAAGGGCAATATAGTGAAATATTGGACCAAGGGCCACAGGCCCAAGGTCCAATATTTCACTATTTTGCCCGCAGAAATGACGTTATTACTATTATTACCACCGTTAATGACCAGGGCTGAAATAGCAAATTTGAAATAGAAAATCTTACGCACTGAACGAGATCACTTTTCCCGGGAAACATAGCCGGGCGGATAATGTCATTATTGCCCGACTAAAGTCATTAACGCCCAACACAATATTGCTCACATCAATATAGCAATTTAAATGCCTTCTCAACTAGTACTAAAACCCCTAGAACAGGCCCTGCAAGGTGGTAATAATAATGGATAACCTCATTAGGACAATTTACTGAGTTTGTTCTTATTGGCAGCAAAGGATTATGGGTTATTTGAAAATGGTTGAAAGGAAAATGAAAATGTTTTTTTTAATTTACTTTATAACTGTGAACTGTACTTACATGTATACTCATTCCATATCTGATTATACAAAGGAAGAAAAAATCTGGTTTTATAAGCTGTTGCAATATACACCATATATTTAATACAAATCTCTGTTTTGTGTTTACATAGTTACAACCGTATAACCTTTAAGGCAAGGACCATTAAATTTTAAAAAGGAGATCTCAGTTCTTAAAATAATATTCTTTGCCTAAATTAGCATGAGAAATACTTTGGGCTTGGGATTAAAACATTCAACTATTCACTTGCATACAAGTACTTAAATTTGCAGCACCATTCAGAATAATGATACTACAATGACTGAAAAAGTGCATGAAATTAAAAAGGTCAAAATATGCTCTAAAGATTACATAAAACTTCATAACAATTATAAAGCTTGGCATTAAGGAGCATTTATATATTACCAATGATGCATAATTCTGAAACCTCGCCAATTCCTTATTATATTGTCAGCAACGAAATTGTCACTGAAACCATTCAACTTAATTTACAGTATCCAGAGGCCTCAGTCAAACCCCTTTGTCATCTTCATGTTTTTTTTATCGCATCATCATAGTTTGAAAGTTTCTGGGTGAGGAATGATATCTTCATTATTGCTTCATGAATGATGTTGAGATTCAAAACTCTAAACATACAATCAACATTAATCTCCATAACCTGAGTTGATTATGCAACGAATTACAAGTGTATTTTGAGCATGTTAAGCAGTTTCTAATCATGTTCACTAGAAATCCCTGGCCACTGATTGAATTTACAATAGTGAAATAAATGTTACTGGGTGGACATTCATAATATAATATTTTGGCACACTTTTTCCCTCCCAACCGAGATAAGACAGGCTGTATAAATATGAGAATTCTGAAATTAACAAATGTTTTAAAATGCTACTCCTTAAATCTGATTCTACCTTGTGTTAATTTCAAAGAAATCAAAGAAAATCAGGATATCAAAAACTTTTGTTTCCCAAAGCTCCCTGATTAAATTGTTCAATGCTGAAATCAGTCAATTCACATATAGAAGACATGTGTTCCATTCACCACTAAATTACATTACATACATCCAGCAAACAGAACTTTGCTCTACATGTGGGGCAAGGTGATTTACTGGCCATCCACCTCTCTGGCTGTGTCTGATCCTGCCTGCTGGCAAACCACTTGCCCATACATTCCAGGCACCACATCGGCCTGCAGTAACACTGTCTGCAGTCACCAGTCTCTGCATCATCACATAACTTCTGCAGCTTCACATTGGCAGTTACTTGCATACATCCTATACACGAGTCAATGTCCTGGAACAAAGAACATAATTATGTAAATGTTCAGATGGTAACGGGTAATGAAGTTAACATGGTTAATAGGGATGTTGTCCAAATGTCATCATGCACTCAGTCAATTATTTGTGAAATTTTAAAATATTGAGATATTTTGACCAGTTTTTGTCAGTGTTAGCTAAAATGAGATTTTCTAGTTGATATACAATCCTGGGAACTGAACACAGAACATATGCCTTATAGGCCTATATATAGAACATTGGCTTTATAGACATACCATATCAGGAGGTTTAGGATAAGGTCTGTTCTCAGATACTTGTTCTCTGAATGCTGCCAAAAATCTGTCACTAAGAGACTGGCGAATTATTACATCCTGAGCATGACGTATTGGAGCTGTGAGTTTGTCCTTTAAGTCACTGTACTCAGTGGCATTCAATCTAAAAGCATAAGAATGTGATTGTCATGTCAATTTTTACAATATTTACAGCATAATCATACAATACATCATTACAATATTCATAGCACAACCATATAATACAGTCATCATTATGATATTCACTGCGCAATCATATAACACAACATTACACTATTTACAGCACAATCATATAACATTTTATTACCACATTCATAAACATGCTCAAAATAATTCATGAAATACACAATACATTATCCCTATATAGTACTAATAATATTTTCCAGGTACAACATGTAATTTTACCTTATAATAAATGATGGCACTCTATTATCTATACTCTCTACAGAGATGTTCAGATACTGGATTCCGCCAACCTGGGCCTCGTGGCTTAGGCTGTGATTCTCAGTTTGGATCAGTGTCAAGTGTGAGTCCACCTGGTGAGCAACTTGAACATCATACGTTGTCGTTAATAAGATCCAAGAGTCAGTAGCAATCAGACGTCTTGAGTGTGCACCTGATGTGTATTTATCTATTCGACGGAATTCGATGTCAATTGATGACGCTACGGCTCTCCACTGCCCAAATATGGAAAGTTTCTTTGCTAGTGGATGGTTATTCCATTTGTTCCTGGACCAATAAAAGCCAACCAGTGAGGTTGTTATTGGAAGGATGACTGACACAGCCAATACAAAGCACCATGCGTTAATTGTTTGTGGAAATATAATTTCAACATTTGAAGTTGTCCAGGCAAGACCTAGGAAATAAACTGAAAATAAAAATAAATTACAACTTTCTTTTAACTATAATCTGTGTGAATATTTGGAGTTCTAGAAAGAGTTTGCAGAGGTGGCTATCTAGGAGAATAGACATCCATTATAATTCCATCACATGGCAAATTAATATACATGTCATTACCTATACTGTTGCACTTACTTCGGTCCAAAGCCTTCTCTATATTCCGGCTTTGAGGAGGAAGATTGAGCTGCCTTAGTATTATAAATATTGTAAATCATTGTGTCACACGCACAGTAAATATGGCATAATAATATGAAATATACCTTTATGTATAGATTTGAAGAACATCAGCTCACATCCCCGTCTGAAACTATTGTTATATTTGATTTCTTTAAGCGAGAATAATATTTCAAATGTTATTCACGTCCAGAACCGGAAGCCATTTTTAGCTACAGCGAGAAAATTTCACCATGTGTCAAAACTCCGAAATGAAATTTTGAAATATCTAAATCCAGACAAGCAACGCTTCATCCTAAATATGATTAATATTCTTAAAAATATTTATAAAATTTATTAAAAATGAGTTCTAGGTGCGTGTAGCACAGTACATACGAAATCAATGAAGTTTCGTTTAGCTGTAAGCTAGAGACTCGAGTAATGTTGCACCATTGATATTTATACTTACAAAGAGGAAGAAAAGAGTGAAATATCATCGTTGCTGTAATCCGTTTGATGTGATAATAAATAAAATTCATCTCTTCACTACCAAGTAATCCTGACAGTAAATGCTGTATTGTCAATCCTGCAGACACAAATTCAGTTGGTGGAAATATAATACATCCACCCAAGAGGAAGTAAAGTACGGTGTAAATAGCTTCAATCGATGCCATTTTAATGTATATTATTTCAGAATGTGTTGTGAATATGCAAGAACATAATACTTGGCGCGTATTGCACGATATGTGCTCTAATCAAAATAATTTTACACGTCTTGTTTATAAATTTCGTTGCAAGAACTGCTAAATGGCGTTAGTATTTCGCTACAGCGAAATTATCTCAAAGCGAGACTAGACTCCCGGCGCTGTGAAATTTAAAGAATATCATATCAGATACATCATCATTAAATTATTATTTAACCTGTGATCTGAAAAATCAAAACCAAAAATCCGTCACACACCACACAAGTCCAAGTTAAAATTGATATACAGAAATTAGCATAGGCAAAGGTCGATAGAAATATTAATTTTAAATAAAGATGGCATGGTAATCGATCTGTGTTTATCTATGTTTCTCTTTGGAAATTAGAATCAATTATGTTCAACCCCATTTCGTTCAGTGATTTAAAAATGGCAGCCCCCATGAAAGTCGAAATTCAAGAAATTTCTCAATCAAAGGTAAATATATATGTAACATTCATTGATAGCAGTTATATATTTTGCCATTTCTATAGTTAATGGCATCATCTTTTACAGGTGAAAATCACACTCGTAATTAGGGGATCTATAGGCCGAATCTAGCACCTCAAAAATAAAAATATGGGATTTTTACTGTAATCCTATTCAAAACAAGGCAAAGTTACATATTATTTTCTGGTACAAAATAATGTATGAAGGCATGTGTCAATTTCCTTGCTTTTTCAGGAAAGTATCATTCCGTTGTCTTCTTTTAGAATATCTGGTAGAAGCTCAATGGGAACTCCAGGAAATTCTGATATTTCAGTTTTCACACTTTCTATTTTTCCAAATTTTCAAAGTTCCCAGACAACACAGGAGCTAACATTGACCTGTTTCCAGGTTTACCAAAAGTAGACAGTGTAATGATACTTTCCTGAAAAAAAGCAAGGAAATACACTAGTGCCTTCATACTTAATTTTGTACCAGAAAATAACATGTGCATAGCAATTTTTTACCAAAATGTTATTTTCCAGCTGAACCTTAAAAATAAGAGAATTTTCAACAGGCCATACTTCAGTGGATGAGATTGTACAAAATGTAAAATATGGGAATTTTAGCGGATGTGTAATTGAAAATCCACCTGTCATTTAAATGTATTTCCCAATTGAAAAAAGCCTATGGAAAATCATCTCCAATTATCACCTAACTTACTATTGATAATTAGTTGAAAGTTAGGTGTAAAAATTCACATGAAAATGAGCTAATTATCAACTTAATTAACGCTTAATTTGCAACTTAATTAACGATTAACTATCATCAATATGCAAATGAGCTGTTTACGTAAATTAGTTGAAAGTTAGTTGTAAGTTTGATGTAAGTTAATCTCTAATTATCACCTAACTTACTATTGATAATTAGTTGAAAGTTAGGTTTAAGTCAGATTTGTGACATCTCAAAAATGACTCGCTTCTTTTTTGCTTCTCTTCACTCGGAGATTTTTGCTTCATCTTGAACTATTTTGTGACGGAATATTCATCTTAATTACGATCTTTCAGAACAAGTTTTCAAATTGACCTAGTTTTAAACCAATCAACGATCGACTCGCTAAACCAATCAGCGACGATGTCATCTCAATACAGATTTACATTATAAGCGTATGTCATCTTTGAACCCTGGGGTTTCTCCCCCTCTTTTTTAAAGCTATTCTATTTTGCAAATTTTTAAGATTCATGAAAAGCATGTGAAAACATCATTATTGCCATCAACAACTAAAATCAGAACACAAACATTAGACTATAATGTTACATAATAAGGACGTAACAGATATAATCCAAAAAATGTTTTGAAATGTCTTTGATCTAACAATCATTATTTAGAAGAGCACATTTGGATTACTTGTGAAATATAGGTAACCCATGTTAGTACCTAAATTGCATTCTAGGATTAATATTATATGATCTGATTCAAAAAGATTTTTAAATTCATAAACATTTCAGACAGAAGTGTGAATAAGATTTAACATACATTGCATTCATGTTCTACATACCCTTATAATAATGTTGACCAAATTTCATGGTAGTATACGCACCATTCACGTTGTAATTCTCAATTTTATGAGAGAAATATCTCTCACATGTTTTCTTTTTCCACCATCTTGAAATTAAATTTAGGGGGTTTGTATTTCTAAATCATGGGCCTAATTTACGACTAATTATCATTATAATCATCCTATATGTTAACTATCAACCAATAATCTACTTCAGAACAAAAACGTTTTAATTTACCACTTACTATCACCCTCAAACATTTCATATCTTAATTATCAACTAAAAATCATAAATCAGCATTATTGTAAGTTAATTTACGTTGAACTTGCTACTGATAATTAGGCCATAATTATCATTGATTTAATTAACGCTTAACTTTAATTCCAATTGCCAGCAGAATTGTTGATAATTAGTTGTAAATTAGTTGGTAATAAGTTGGTAATTAGTTTTATTTTTCAATTGGGTTATGTTCAAAACTTTACACTAATGCTCGCTGGAGGTCTCTCGCATCGTTCCATTATATCCTTGGTGATGATGGGGCGTCATCCTTCAGGGAGGAATGGGGTAGCGACCCTTGATAGCAAATAGCAATACATCCCGGTACTTTTAATTCCACATTGATTCAAACATTAAGAATTTTGATCTACGACATTAGTATTTCCCGAGTGCTGGAACAAAAGATTGGATTTTCCAATATTGTCTGGATACATATCCCCTAAAATTTGTATATTTTTCATTTTGTAAATTCTCATCCACTGATGTATGGGCTCTTGAAAATTCTCTTATTTTTAACATGGTAAATCCCCACTTCAGCAAATGCATGACTCATTTATTTATGGTCCAAACTGTACATGTACATGTAGTTACATATATTTATTATCACATTTATCATTTAGGGCAGAGGATTCATTGCTATACATCCAATATGTGAAGGTGAGATCCTGTTTGAAGAGGAACCTATTGTATGCTGCCAGTTCCTTTGGAATGCCTTCTACAAGTATGCTGCATGTGACCACTGTATGAAAGCACTGGAGACAGCTGAGGAGAATGCAAGACGCCTGTGCAATAATCACACACTTGTTTTGCCTCACCCAGAATGCTGCAGTGTCAATAAGCAGCTGTATTCAGTTTGTCCACATTGTCAGGTATGCAAAAGTATATACATGTACAGGGTACTACTGTAAACATAATAAACTTTGATTGATTATTTCAGTTTTTATAGATTTTTGAAAATTATACAAAATAACCTTATAATGACTGCCAATAGATGGCAAAGAATTCAGTGGGAATATCAACGTCATGGAGTATTAATGAACTGCCCTCTATAGGAGTCCCTGCTCTCATTATTTTGGCAATATTTTTGATTTATGAAAACTATTCAATGAACAGATATATACATAATATTTATCGTGTCATGTTTACATTGAATCACTCTGCAGGTGCAGTATTGTAGTGAGGTTTGTAGAGATACAGCTTGGGGGATGTACCATGAATCACTTTGTACAAGACAGTCAAGTAAAGACCCAGACCACCCTCTTGAAAAGCTGCAGGAAATATGGAGGTATTACAAATCTTATTACAAACTCATCATTATGTAAAAGTTGTTTGCTACATAATTTCAGCCATTAAGGAATTTTGATTATTAATTTGAAATTAAATCATCCAATTTAGACTTGTACAGTACTTATAAGTTTAGAAATTTATAGGGGACACAAAGTTTCTGTTTCTACTTTCTTGTTTGTTTGTTTTTAGAAATCTGCACTTTCCACCTGAGACTGCTAATATAATGTTAGTAGCTAGATTGATAGCCACTGTGAAACAGGTGAGACTATAGTGTTGTTGGTAAATGATGATGAACTCAAAGGAAAACAATTTTTTCAATTGATATGGTCAAGTTAGTGTTTCCTCTGTACATATTGTGAAAATATTTAATTCTAATTGACTAATCTTCATTTCTTTTGAAGGCAAAAAATAAAGATTTAATACTACAAAAACTATCAAAATTTTGCCGGACAACCAAAAATGAGGAGAAAGAGATAGCACACAAGCTGTTAGGTGCAGAGTTCCAGGCACAACTGGACGTGTTGCGTACACATACCACCGAGGCACTGCATGAGGAGACTGTAGAAACGGTAGGTGTATTCTAGTCTAATATGTTGAGCTTTTAAATTTAATTGGATAGGCCCTAATATCGCCTGGAAACCAATAGTATTTATTTTGATTGAGACATTTTTACTTTTTGTTTGCCTTCTGTTCTCTGACCCAATTGCAACACCGGGTGGTGAAACTCGTAATTTCATACTGGCACCTTGGTAATTGGCCATGCTTTATTGAGGTTGTTTTGTAAATTTTGTATATTGTGTAGGGTGTGAACTTGATTTCAAAGTGACTCACCATCTTAGTGAATCCTAGACTATTTCTTATTTAAAGAGAATCAAAACAACCTGTATCGTGTACCATCAACAGTTTTTATCGCACTTTGAAAAAGTGCTATATTGTCGTCGTCTTGTGCTGTTGGGCGGGCGGGCGTGCGGGCGGGCGGGACATAAACCAAATCTTGTCATCAAATTTCCAGGATAACCACTAACCTGTTCAACTTGAAATTTTTACACATGCAATAGCAGACTAGTACCAAGATCTGATTAGGTTTAGGGCATGCTGGGTAAACTACGTGGCGGCCATCTTGAATTTTTCAACAAATCTTGTCATCAAAATTCCAGGAAAACCACTTATCCGTTCAACTTGAAATTTTTACAGATGCAAGAGCAGACTATTGCCAAGATCTGATTAGGTTTTGGGTATGCTGGCTGCATTACATGGTGGCCATTTTGAATTTTTCAATTTGGCGGCCATTTTGAATTTTTCAACTTGCTCCAAATTGACCAATTTTTTTTTTAAAAACATCTACAAGTTCTCAGAAGTTCAAATCTGACCTTAGATATCAGATTTGACCTTTCGTTCACCTTCAGTGGCCTTGAAAAGGTCAAAAAGTTGATTTTCTAAATTGATATTTTGGATTTAAATTTAGTTCAGCTTAATTACAAAACACCTACTGAGGTCTGGAAAAGTTAAATTTTCAAGGTCGAAGGTCATCAAATTAGGTCACAAACAATGTTATCTACATTTTCCCAAAGTTCAAGACTACAAATAAATTCTTGTCATCAAAATTGCAGGAAAACCGCTAACCTTGTCAACTTGAAATGTTTACAGATGCAAGAGCAGACTAGTGCCAAGGTCTGATTAGGTTTTGGCCATGCTGGGTAAATTGCATGGTGGCCAGTTTGCTCTTCAAAGTGCGATATTTATCACTGTGTGTCTTGTTAATCATTTCTAGTAGCTCAACAATCTTTTTTTATTTAAAAATATTTCCTCTCTTAAAATTACATATATTGCTGATTACACCATGAGCCCATGATTACACTGACACTTAAATAAGTGTATCAATGCGAAAAAAAATAATTTGTACTCTGAGTCACATGGAAATTGTTTTCATTACTTGGTAGTATATTGTGTAGCTATCGTGAATCCAGCAAATGATTATGTTGGCCTTTTGGGTAATGTATTAAGGTTTTGTTGTGTCTGTTTCAGTGGTTCACTCCTGAAGGATTCAACTCTCTGTTTGCTCTCATAGGGACCAATGGCCAGGGTGTAGGCACAAGGTACTAAGCAAACATTTGATAATGATTATTTCCCTTCCTAGTATAAATCACTAGTTTTTGATACAGGGTAGCCCAGAGAAGTCTAAGATCCTCTTTAGTTGTAAGGAAATTCTCTCTGTCTCTGTTAAAATAGTCTCTTGACTTCTGAATAGTAGTCTTGAGGAATGGGGCAGGATACAAGTATTGATACCATGGGCTTTCAACTAGATTTTAGATTTCTAATTGAAAGCCCATGTTGATACTCAACAGGGATATTGATAGAGTCCTGCATTGGTTTGATAATGTGGAAGAGTACACTCTTTAGTGTACAAGTATTGTATTATAAGATAAATTAACATGCTCGTATTGCTTGTAATTGTGAGGTACATGTAAAAATCATTGTTTGTACCATATTTGTAGAAAATTCTAAATTTTGACTATCTTCATATCATTCACCAGAATTGCAAATATTTTGTGTTTCAGTTCATTGAGTACATGGGTAAATAACTGTGATGACCTTGACCTGCCTTCTACAGATAGAGAAACTCTTGATGCATTTATTGATAAACTCTATGAAGATATTGAAAAAGGTAAAATGTTATTAGGTCAGGTCAGGTATCCTCACAAAATGTGTTACACATGTGTATTGTAGTCGTAAACCTACTCATAACTTACTCACATTATAAGTCTTCTTAAACCTGTTGTCAATAAATCTACTTTAATGGTTTACACAATGTAAGATACAAGAAGGCAAGATTTTATAAATACATGTATTATAAGTTATTGAATGATTTGAAGTGCAATACAGGATATATTCTGCTCGAGAAATTCCATATTGGAACGAGACGAAGTCGAGTGCCAATACAGAATATCGAGAATGTCCCCTCCGTACCAATATTTTCTATATTGCGACGGAGATGATCAATGGGGACAATCTCAGTAGCAATACATATTGGTACAGCACAAGAACTGACCAATCAGAAGGCTTCGTTTTACAGATCATGCGATAATTCATTATATTGAATCCTTTTTATACACATTTTTTTCCCCTATATTTGGTCATTTATTCCTCTTTGTTTCTTGATATTTGAGAAGCTGGGTTGGCACTTATAAGGGGATGGGTGAGCACCTATAATGTAAATTACAACATTTTTTTAGCCTCTCCTTTTATATTTATCATTTTGTGACTGTTTCAGAATCGGGTAATTTCACAAACTGTGAAGGATCTGCTCTATATGCACTGCAGAGTACAGGTAAAACAATTAACGTTTTATAAATGTTAGATTGATTGATTGATTGGCACATATATAGGCAAATTATAAGTTAATTCAGAATTTAGGCTACCGTATTCTCTATAAAGACCACACATCTCCCATGTGATTTTCATGATGAATATAGTCTCGAGGTAATTTAGAATTGACTTATACATGTAAGCAAACAAGTTTTACTCCCTTTCCAATGGTACTTTGAGCTATTCTAATATCACATTGTATATTTTTGGTTATTATTGATTTTCACCTATTATCAGCAATAATTTTTTCTAAATATTTTATATAATTTTAAATGTGTTTCTCCATACATGTATTTCACTCTTTTCCATGTTAATTTTATGAGGACATTGAGACAATTTAGTGGAAATGCCCCCGAATGTACACATAAAATTTCAATGTGGAATTTTCCTTTTGTTTCTTTTGTTCTAGCCAACCATAGTTGTGAACCCAATGCAGAAGTAGTATTTCCCCACGACAATTTTATTGTTGGATTGAAAGCTACATGTGATATACAACCTGGGGAGGTAAGACACAATTGATACAAAAGTATAATTTATAACGTATTGTAGTATCCAATATGTTTTAATAGACCAAAGATAGAAGAAAACATGAGAAACAAGTTTTATGTTTTGACTTTGTACTGTGTACCGTGTGTCGAATAAGTCCTGTACCTTCTGTAAAGCCAGAACTGTAATACTAATTGCACCAAGTGGGTGATATACCATTGGAAAGAGCATCCAAAGTGGTCTACTGTATATTTTACACCTGCTTATTTTGATTTATTTTTTTATTTTTTTAAACTACAATTTTGATAATTACGACTTAATTATTTATGTTATGTTAATCATACACTGCACTTACACTGCACTGGTAATACTATAAGCATTATAGTGTTTTAAAAGCACATTTAAACGAAATGAAATATAAGATAAATGTGACGCTGCACAAGATACATGTATGTAGTTTCACAATGTGAAGAGCTACATATTGAATGTTTGTTTATTTATAAGGAGGTGTGTATTTGTTACCTTGATTGCTGCCAGCGAGGCAGAAGTCGCCATTCAAGACAGAAAATATTAAGGTAACTAAGAAGTAGGCAAGAGTATCTGTATTTACAAACAATATTACAGTACGGCTTGATGTTTTACACAATACAATTGGTGCACTTATTACATTTTATTAATTATGTCACCACCTCTTCATTATGTCACCACCAGAAGTGGTGACATATCATTGTTGTCTCCAACTTTTTTGCAAATGGTGTTCAGCGGACAGAATTTTGCAAATTGCGTCTGTAACAGTGTTGATTTTGACTTCTGCCTTGGTCTGTACTATGTATTGTATAATGTAGATCAGTAATTGGATTGATGACAATTTTTAACTCAACACAACACATGATTCAACACACATTTATTGGACCAATAAAACATATGAATATAACTTTTTCAGGGAGAACTATTTATTTCGATGTGACTGCAGTAAATGCCTCCTTGAAGCTGGTGATCCTGAAGAAACATCTAGTGAAGAATCTGAGGATGACATGGAAGAAAGCTGATGATCCTGAAAAATATCTACAAATTACATCTACTGATGATCCTGAAAATATGTCTATCGTATTTGACACTTCCAGTGATAATAGAAAAATATCAATTTGGCATTATGCACTATTCAAGGGTGTGCATGAGACCCCCCCCCCATGTGAGGAAGGGTAGGGGATTTTTACAAAATCAAAATTGGGTTTTTAAATTCCCTACCCAGGGAACAACCTAGTGAGTCAGTTTCTCCACCCTGGGAGCAATTTTGCTGGTTAGATATAGTCAAAACTCCTATTACCAGGAATATGCATTTTAATCTGCTGGGATGAAGCACTATGTCAAAGCTCCTTTGACAAGCTCCTTGGACAATACCGCTTGTCAAATTCCCAGTCCTTCAGACATTTGGGTGACGCATGCAAACCTTGGTGCATTATTTTGGAAGGTATCATACCCCTTTAACATACAGCACATGTATCTGTGGCTAAAGAGACAGAAAGTTTTGAGAAATGGAATGGAAACTTACACTAGTTCAATTTACTTGAACATGATATCTGAGACCTTATTAAATTATCAATGTTCTGTATTGTTTCTTTTTGATTTTAGTTTCTTTCCTATAAAATGTTGAAATATTACTTTTTAACTTACTAAATGAAAGAAAACATTAACATTGGTATTTTTCTGAGAGTATCAAAACAGAGCACTTTTCATGTAATTTCTATGTGAATTGCCTGCATTTTTATATACCAATGAAAACACCCCAGTATATTTGTAAGTGGAATACAACCTAGGAGTTGTACAAGTGAGAGCAAAAAATAAACTGGATGTGAATCCCAAAATAATTTTATTGTTTCTGAGATTTACATGTACATAAAGAGAGGAATATATAGGAGTAACTGGTCGAGGCATTACTCTTCCCAGAGTTATTTTGCAATAAATCATCTATGACATAACATAATGAAAGGAAACCATACACCCATTGGTATTTTTCAGAGAGGATCAGAACACTTTCAATGGAATTTCTGTGGGAGTTACTTGCATTTAATTTATGTATCAATGAAAACACCTCACTCTATTTTTATTAGGTAATATAACAGTTCCTGTCAAGTAAAAAATAACAATTGGAAAAATTGGGGCTTAATTCTCTTGACAATTTGGAAAATTGGAGGTAATCGAAGATTCTAAAATCTGACGTTTTTAGAAAATCAGGGTTTCAAAAAATTGGGAGGAAAACCAGTATTTTAACAGGGTAATTGTTTCAGAAGAAAAATCAGGTTGTCAACAGTTTTTAAAGGGGAAGAAAATCATGCTTCTTTTAAATTAAAATGGGACCATGGGCTTTCAACTAGAAGGGTAGGCAACTTCCCATATTTCATACATAAACATTGCCATGGGTTTTCAAAATTGGAGAATGTACACATTCCAAGAAAATCTTATTTTGTACTTTTTATTGATGATTAAAAGAAATAACTCAAAAATAAAAACATGATCTTCTACATACATCTTGATAATTTAATAAAAATTGGAATTCATCATAATTATGACAATACAGAAAGTGAACATTCTCCCACAAATTATGTTTTTATTGGAATGTGTTCTTGAATAATTACCCACAATGCAATACTCAAAGAGAACATCTTGATAACTCTTATTCTTATTGGTCTCTTTTGTTTACTTTTATATGATATTGAATATATTTTATGCTTAAATCATATTAAAAATTGATTTTTATTCAAAATAATACTAAAACATATACATTTATCTAATACTTTTTGAAATATTGCCATAAAAGGGAAGCATGTCATTGCTCATTTTGAAGGTCTCATGTTATTACATAGAGTTGCATACCCTTCTAGTTGAAAGCCCATGATGGGACAAATATCAGGGGAAGAGTAGTTTTTCTAGAAGTACAAATTTGAAAATCAGAGTAAATGGGGGGGGGGAGGAGTCGATGGGTCCGTGGTTAGGCCCACAAGGCTTACTTAGTTTGCACAAAGCTATCTCCTGAGATCAGGAGATCTAAAGATGGCTATGTGCAAATGAAGTAACACAAGGCTAGCATAACAACTTTACAGTTCCGAATTACAGGGCATGGGTGTGGCCAGGGGTGGGATCCGATCGCTACCATACCCACTTACCAAGTTCTTTATTAAGAACACTGGATTTTAAGAATAATTAAGTGTTATTGAACTTGTTTTTAACTTTTTATACAGTGGATTTTAGAAACTTTTACCTAGCATTTACAAGTGACAGCAATCCCGGGGACAGCACAAAGAGATAAACCAGCACAGAGAGACTATTTGGTGACATAAAAGCACCATAAGGATACCAACAACAAGGCTTTGTAAAAATGTCAATCATCCACAACCCGGATCCACAATAACAACTAATTCAGTTCTACTGACATACAAGTGAAGTGAATATGGTAAATGTGTTAAATTACTTTTTAGTTGATTTATAGATGTCGCTGTTATTCATCTCAATTATAGATGTCACGCCAACCTCACTAAACAAGATGGCTTGCAAAATTTTCTAAAAATTCCACAGATGGTGAATTTTGCACGATTACTTCAACAATTTAATCCTAAAAAAATATTTGTTGTATCCACCGGGTTAAGAACTACATTTAGAAGGTAAGTGGATTCTATATAAAATGTGAGAACCGATGATATGTCCGTAATCCACTCGAGGCTACTGATTTTTTCAGGTTTTGAGAGACAGAATCATGAGTATTTCTAAGGCAAGAGAGGTGAATCTCTCGTCTCACCAAGCTAAAGACGGACCTCTATTTATCGGTATATGACTGATGGACTTCACCTCATATCATCATCCCTTATGCGAATAACATATTGCAGATTGCTTTATAACAAGAAAGCCTACTGGCTACAGTCTACAGAAACAAAATGGTAGGCCCATGACATAGCATATTTTCAGAAACTACCCTGCATGCAAAGTCTAGCTATAAACTACGAAGCCCTCTGTAAGAAGCGAAGTTGAACGAATGCAAAGGGTAGCAGAGAACCACAATCAATAGCAGTTTGATTTGGGAAAGTCTGTGTCTTTATTTGTACAGATCTATCTGAGATTTGTCACTGCAAAACTCGGATAGTCAAAGTCACTTGAGGCAGGGCAGCCCCGTCTTGCATTATTCTAGAAGAAAAATAATACAAGCTAATTTGGGCTAACCTGGTTTTCCTCCCCAAAAGGATATCATATTTCCGCTAATGCGAAATAAGTTCACCTCGTGAATTGAACCAACTGAATCACTTCAGAGTGTATTATACAGTGGAGTATGTTTATTTTATCTGAAACATAGGATCAAATCCTATGCTAAGGGCTGATGTGAAAAAGTCACTCCACCCTGGTGGGAATCAAACTCACAACCTCCAAATTACATGTCAGATGCTCTATTAAGTTTACCTGTCTTTCCAGGTTGTCATTCGGATTATTCATGATGTCACATGGTCTTTCCCATGTGCCATTCCCCAACGGAGAAATTATTAGTTAATCTGAAACATAGGATAAAATCCTATGCTAAGGGCTGATGTGAAAAAGTCACTCCACCCTGGTGGGAATTGAACCCACAACCTCCAGATTACATGTCAGATGCTCAATTTGAGAAATAAGTTCAGCACATGAATTGAACCAACTGAATCACTTTGACATTGCACAAATCTAAACTGTTATCCAAATTGCAGTGTATCCTTCAGTCACCTAGTGTGAACTTGCAGCATGTGCTTTTAATTGGAATGAAAATAGACACTATTATGTTATATGAATGACCTTATAACTTACATGACCTCAAGTATATTGTGGGATTGCTGGTATTGAGAAAATGGGCCTCAAGTTTTCAAAATGTATGTTAATACATGTAGTTCATTTCAGTACGTTGTACTAAATGATTGGCCTCAGATTGGCTTTGGGTCAATATAGGTGTTCTTAATTATTACATAAATATAATATATAATACCAGGTATTAATCACAGAAGGAGCTGTTGCCTTGAGTAGCTTGGTACTTTTACACCTCTTGATATATTTTATTAATTCTTGTGTGAAAAACAGACTAAACAAAGTTTCTTATAGGTATAATGTCAATAGATGGATATATGTTTACAAACATAATTAATTGTGTTTTAGGGGGAGAAGGTTAAATTCATTGTGATCTGTTGGGAAACAGAATCAATGAATGCTTGGGATGGGATGGTGGTAAATCTGAAATGTAACGAATAATTTTTTGAGACAATCTAGCCTAGAAATAATATTGATCAGATCTATTAATGCTGGCTTTAAATTTGACATAAATTTTGATTTCAGTTTTACAGAGGTTGGCGTAAATTTCTCAAGAAGTTCTACCATGTCTACACCGGGTATAGCCAAGGTATGGGATGAAGGACAAATTGTCAAATCTGCGGGAGATAAAAGAGTTTATCGTGGATTGCAATTGACCAATGGGATTAAAGCATTGCTGATAAGTGACCCGACTACAGACAAAGCATCTGCATCAATGAATGTTCACATCGGTGAGTAATTCCTCACATTTCTTTTCACTTTTCTCATTTTTTATCTTACTAACAAAACAAATATAAACTTACAAACATTACGGCTGAAATGTATTCTAGTTCTGAAATTAACATATTTTATCCTAATAAGGTCTCGTGATTAATTCCAAGAGCATAATAAAATAACTCTTGAAATGTTGATCTATTCACCAGGCCATATGTCGGATCCAAGAGACCTGCCAGGGCTAGCACATTTCTGTGAACACATGTTGTTCCTGGGCACTGAGAAATATCCACAGGAGAATGAGTATAGTAAGGTGAGGATCTGTTTTAAAACAGTTAACATTAAGAAACATAAGGGGCATAAGCTAAATCCAAAACATAACTTTTAAAAACACTTTTTGTGTAACATGATTTAGTTAAATTAATGTACACTACATAATGGATATGCAATTACATGTACAGTACATGTATTTTTATTTTACTGTAGTTCCTTAGTGAGCATGCTGGCTCTTCGAATGCATTCACAAGTGCTGAAAATACAAACTATTACTTTGATGTGGCACCAGAGGAACTCGATGGAGCTTTAGATAGGTAACAATTTCAGAAAAATTTCATAAAAAGATTGGAAGATCAAAATAGACCTCACTTAAAAAGTTCAATATCAAAATCCACTGTTTTATGAATACTTTTTTGACAAGTGAAATATGAACTATTTGACATTGAATGTCTCTTAGTTATTGTCCTGGTTTTGTTTGTCAAGAAACAGCAAAAATGATAACACTATGCTGATTGCTGATGTTCAGCCCAATTCAACCTGCTGGCATTGTCTGTTTCTCTAAACATCAACTGTGTTTTAACAGTAACTTTATAAATCTTAGAAAAAACTCTTAATTTATACTTAAACTGGGTTGGAAGAAATTTACTATGCCCTGGTCTTATTCTAGGTTTGCCCAGTTTTTCCTGTGCCCCCTATTCACAGCCACAGCTACAGAGAGAGAGGTTAATGCTGTCAACTCAGAGAATGACAAGAATTTACAGAGTGACCCATGGAGGTTGATGCAACTGGAAAAGTCCACTTCAAACCCTAACCATGATTACAGCAAATTTGGAACAGGTTTGTAACATATGCATGGAATACAGGCCTGTATCCAGAAGGAGTTCAGAGGGTGCAAACGACCCCTGGCAAGAAATTCCATCAAAATCATTCAGTTCTCACAATTCTGAGCACTTTTCAAGGGATTTAGGGCCAAAATGGTCAAATGTGAATCTCCCTGTATTTCTTTTAGAAAGTCACCCCCCCCCCCCTACCTTGTCAAAGGCTGGCTATGGGCCTGGACTAACACAGAAGATTTTGACTTCATACACATAACATATTCTCAATTGTAGAATATTCTTTGATATTGGATATATTCTATTATATCATGATATTGCTGATTATTAAAGAATTTAAGCATCTACTTCAATAAATTGTAATAATTTAATGACCCACGCAAGTTTTATTAAATCCAGGTTTTAAAATCTGGGAGCAGTGAAATAAAATGAGGATGTGGTCTCACCGGATCTTGCAATTTGTTAGGGCTTGTGCTTTAAAGTACTTTGTACCAATTGCAAAAATTTTAACTATGTTATTACAAGAAATATAATTTAAGCAGTCACTTTTCAGAAGCACCCATTTGTTTTAATATATCTCTTTCATTATGTCACCACCAGTAGTATATCATTGTAGTCTCCAACCTTTTTGTTTACAGTGTTTGGCATTTTTTGCTTGATATTAGGCATCTGTAACTAATGGGAGGTGGTGACACTTTGCATGTTAATGCCTTGATTTCAATAACTTCAATAAATTGTTCTTTTAGGCAATAAATATACATTGGAGACAAAGCCTCAAGAAATGGGACTAAACACAAGGGATGAACTGCTCAAGTTCCATTCAAAATACTACTCTTCAAATATCATGGCCTTGTGTATCCTAGGCAAAGGTGGGTGTCTCTGTTAATCATTTGGTATTCAATATGATAGAAGCATTTTAACTTTCTGAATTATTGCATGATTTGATGAGTAAAGCATTTGGAAGATAAAATTAAACCTTTTAGATTCGTACAGATAATCAAATGTTGCATGTTTGCATAATGTTGCATGAACCAACAAACAAGCAAACAAACAAACAAACAAACAAACAAACAAACAAACAAACAATTTATGTACAAGAAGCTGGGAAGTGATTTAATAATTGATTTCATCTTATATGTGATATCATTTTAGATAGTCTTGATGACCTGGGTGAGAAAGTGGTTAAGTTATTTAGTGATGTTCCTAACAAGAATGCAGTAGTCCCTGAGTGGCCTGAACACCCATACGGCCCAAATGAACTAAAGGTAAATAGTGAAAAATGATTGAAGTGAAAAAGGTTTTAAAAAGTATGCCTTCGTGCATACCAGTTGTTGGTAACTTATAAATGAAGGAATTCACATAATTTTCCAAATCTAAACCCACTTAATGGTAACACTTTTCTGAATGTAGAAATCGTCAATGATCTTATTTTCACTTTATATTTGTTTTAGCTGAGAGCCAATGTTGTTCCCATCAAAGATATTCGTAACTTGAACCTGACATGGCCACTACCTGACCTACACCAGTACTATCATACACAGCCAGGTCACTACCTTGGCCATCTTGTGGGGCATGAAGGGCCTGGCAGTCTTCTATCAGAACTAAAGAACAGAGGTATATGTCTTGCCAAACTGAAAAATGGGATTTGTAGGAGGGAGGAGGGGGGGGGGCAGATCAGCCTGTTTTGTTTGGAGGCTTAATTTTGACTTAAGTAATCATAAGTGAACTTGCTCTCCTTTGGCATATGATATTTGCTGTTATGATATGATTGGTTGCCACTTATTTTTTGTTTAAGTGTTGGAAGTATGTGTTCATTGTTAATCTTATCTTGCACCAGGAGTGTCATTTCAAAGTTGATTTTCAGGCTTTTTACTTTGGTAAAGAATATGTTTTTAAATTATATTTGAAAATTCCATTTGGTTTTGTTGTAGTTTTAGATTGGTACTAAAATGAAACATATTTCAAAGAAATACCATCTGTACGTATTGTATTATTTATGTTTGATAAGTGACACATTTTGCATCATAGTCAGTACATAAACTTTGATTGAATAGATAGAGGCTACAATCAGATGAAACCACTCGTTGTATATGTTATATTTTACATAGTATTATACTTGTATTGTTTTCTGCATGTAGGTTGGGTGAATACACTGGTTGGAGGCTCCCAGAGTGGTGCCAAAGGCTTTGAGTTCTTCATACTTAATGTTGACCTCACTGAAGAAGGAATAGGTAAACTTCTGAATTAACTTATTTTTGTATTATCGCTAAAGCCACCGTCACATTTACTCAACTGTGGGCATATAGCGGCTGTAGCTTCAATAAATCGATGTAGGAAATCTACATCTTACTGCTTATCCGCATATTTTATGCTGCATATTTCTCTCGATTTTGGGAAGCTATGGCCATGATACGGTTGCCATAGATCAAATGTGACTGAGGCATTAGCCACCGATCATCAGGGCATGGCTTTAAATTTTGTAACAATATGAATATTTATAACAAAAAATCATGTGAAATGCTATATTACCACCTAATAATTACAGTAAAACCCATCCAAGCAGAACCCTTTTGATGGGACTCTAAAAAGTGTTCCACTTCTAGAGGTGTTCCACTTCACATGTTTCACTATATATATAAAATGTAAAATACTCCATGTTACAGAGCATATAGATGACATAGTGACGCTAGTGTTTCAATACTTTAACCTATTACGAAAGGAGGGAGCCAAGGAGTGGATCTTCAATGAATGTAGAGATCTTACAGCCATGACATTTAGATTCAAAGATAAAGAAAAGCCAAGGAATTACACAGTTGGTTTGGCTAACTGTATACATGTAAGCATTGGCTTTATTTGATAGACTTGAACTTGGTATAGAAGGAACATTAAGAATTCTAGCTATCAGAACTTATGCTGAAGGTATCATACAGCTATACTGTTAATGTGTTGAACTTATTTCTACCATATTCTCTCTAATAGACACATTTAATAGACTCCAATTAACGCACACCCAACTTTTCAACATTAATTCTGAGAATGTTAATCCCCAAGGATTTTGTCATTTGGGACATCTTCCAGAGAATTAGAGAGTCGCACTGTGTGTTAATTAGAGAGAATATGGTATGTAGTTTCATATGTCTGGTTCTATGTATGCTATAATTTTTGAGTGTCTGTGTGCTTTCATAGGTTAAGATTGTAATTTTTTCCCCTATGCCATCATTGTTTCAAGTTCTGTGATGATATGTTTCAGGACTTCCCTATGGAAGAAGTGCTCTCTGGGGGCTATGTGATGTCAGATTACAATCCAGAGTTGATAAACTCCATCCTAGAGAAGCTTACACCAGATAATGTCAGGTAATACAATACTACATTAAAAAAACATATCGTCCATATGAAGGATTGTACTGAGTACAACTTGAGAGAGTATAAGTAGTGTAATCAATGCAGAAATATGATTTTGAGTACTGTCAATAGGTGGCGCATCTATCAGCCTCGTTCTAGTTTTTGTGTTTATTTTATATTTTTAAACAAGATGTTAGCTTATTTGTATGTATTCACTTTTGTTTCTGGTAGTAACACATGAACTTGCAAAGCAATCATATTTTAAAAATATTTCTGCTGTTGATGCAATTTTGTAGAATCTCACTTTGTTCTAATGTTGATATATGTAGCAGGCTTGTTGTCTTTTGAATATTAAAAGTCTGTGGATCTAGTTAAGTTAGTGGTAGGATGCTTTTGACCTTGTTTAAATCATTTTAAATTGTGAGATTTCCCAATTTACCAAAGCTTCTGTTCAAACACTGAATGTTCATATGCATGTGTTTTTAGAATAGCAGCAATAGGTCAGAAATACCAAGGCACAACTGATAAGGTTGAAGAGTGGTACAAAACTGAGCATAGCATAGAACATATCTCCAATGATACTATTCAGGTAATCAATTCACCATTCTTCTTTTTGGTCCTAAAAGAAAACTGAAGTCTTCTTAGGGGTATTCATGAGACCGAGACGGCACCTTGCAGTGAATTCAGTTATATATTTGAATGGATGAAAAAACTAGGATTGTAAAATATATATGTATGTGTATTCCAAAAACACTATCATTGTTGAACATTGAAAGAGAATACATGAACATAAAAAGTATATGCGTGGATTGAGAGCTTTTGTAGAGCAAGTTTGATGAGTAACCATTGTAGCTAATTTGGGGGTAATTTTGACTTGTATGTCTGTTTTGTAGAAATGGAAAGATGCTGGTCTTCATGATAAGTTACATTTACCACTACCCAACGACTTCATACCTACAAACTTTGACATTGTCCCAAGGGAGGAAGAGGTTTGTAAACTCTTGTTTTATTTCATAAGTAAAATAAATATGGAATACAGGATAGGTTGCTTTACCAGGTTGTTTATGGCATTATTACAAAGGCACTTCATACAGTTAACGATTTTATGACCGAGATTTCGAGATATTCAAGTTACAAGTCATATGACAGATAAATAAAAAACTGATATGGTTTCTAAGTGAACTATTGTCTTTCGTTTGTCTTTTAATTGCCTCCATTTTGTTCATTTGACTGCCATTATGGAACAGTTTCTCCATATTCTTACTAGCCATGGTGGATCCACACAACTGCTTTGATAATGCTTTCTGTTGTTTCAGGCTACTACACCGTCTATAATTAAAGATACACCAATGGGGAGATTGTGGTTCAAACAAGATGACAAGTTTCTCCTACCAAAGGCTTGTGTTAGCATTGAATTAACTAGGTGAGATTATCAACTCAAATTAATTTAGCATAAAACTCAATTGAAAATTCAAGGATGATTTCTCACTTTTAATTGAATAAAACAATGGTATTCTGGGTGTGCCCATCATTTAAGGTCTAATATCATAATCATTTGAAAAAACATGTATTGTAGCTTTTAACGTCACCACCAGAAATGGTGACATGCAAGTCTCCATCTTTTTGTGGACGTGGTTTGGCAGTTGCTGGTTGGTGTCTGTAACAAATGGCTGGTGATGACATTTTGCAACTTGGTAGCTTACAACAAGTAGGCTACAAAATGTTGTATGTTGTTTGTTGTTTTTACTTCCAGTCCAAAAACATATGTTGATCCTCTCCATGCCAACTTCACACACATGTTTGTGTCACTTTTCAAGGATGCCCTCAATGAGTACACATACGCAGCAGAGCTAGCGGGGCTTCATTATTCCTTGGATAGCACCATATATGGAATCTTTGTAAGTTAGATTTCACATGGTATACTTAATCCTTGTTTATATTCATATTGTTAAAGTTAGACTATGTTGCTGCTGCATATTCCTAATTGTGTTTCTAATGAAAGCCCTACCTAATTGTGATTCGAATTTGAAATTTGCCTCAACCAAAATCAATCCGAATCATGTATTTTTAGCCTATCTCAACCCTGATGAATTACAGAATCTTTTTTGTTTCAGTTGAGTTTATCAGGCTACAGTGACAAACAGTCAACTCTGCTTCAGAAGATAATGGATATTTTAACCTCATTTAGAATAGATCCACAGAGATACGAGATCATCAAAGAGAGTGTGAGTAGACCCTGTCATTCAAAACATCTCAAAATCTACAGTTTATAATATTGTGTTATTTATACTGAGATCTACACTAGAGACTTTCTTACATAAATAATCAGATCCATAAAAGTTACAATACGCTTAAAAGCTTGAACAAGAGCATGTCTAGACCAAAACATCTATAAAAGAAAAGTAAAGAGTATTGCATCATTCATAATGGAGTAAAACGCTTGGTCATTGGTCGAGCATTGGTCAATGTGATTACAAATCAATAAAAACACATTCATTGAAAATTTAACCTCTGACTTTCAAGCCACGATTGACTATTCATGAGTGATAATGCCTTGATAAAATCATGCACAGTACATTTTAATTTATTGAAAAGGATATTCCAAAATAGAGGGTTGCATATATTTTTTCATCCTGTACTTCATTTCAAATATTGCATTGATCTCATCTACAGTACATCAGGTCACTGCAGAATTTCCGAGCTGAGCAACCCCACCAGCACGCCATCTATTACACATCCATGCTCATGTCTGAGGCCTACTGGACTAAAGAAGAATTATTGGAAGCTATCGATGGTATGAACAAATAGTTTATTCCAGAAAACGTCAATATATAGCAATAATTTTTTGTTAATAGTGTTTCATAAGATCGGGTGTACACTTTGAATCAATATTTTGTACGTAACTAGTCTTGAATAAGTTTGTAAGAATGCACCTAACCATTGGTAGTATACTAGGAACATGGAGTTTATATGAGAACTACTTCTCTGTTTTACGACCCCTGTATCCAACAACACTATAAGTAGTTTCTTGTTGTTGTCAATACAATACAATACTATGTTTAATACAGGGCTGATAAAATTCCTGTTTGAGCAAATGTTGAATGTGTGTTAATGTATTTCAGAGGTGACTTTAGAGGGACTTCGGGCATTCATTCCCCAGCTTCTCTCCAGGATGTTCATAGAGTGTCTAGTTTATGGAAATATGACTAAAAACCAAGCTTTGGACATTCAGAATATTGTAGAAAACACATTGATTGGGAAATCTAAAACAAAACCACTTCTACCTAGTCAGCGGAAAAGATTGCGAGAAGTTCAACTACCAGATGGTAAGATTAAGTTTACTGTAATGGCATATAAGGATTACTTGAATTTGTACAACATACAATTGCAATTTATACAATAATATGGGATTTGAAAAAAACTCAGAACTGGGTGAAGGTAACAAAAGGCTGTAAAATCAATAACAAATGTGCAGTTATGTTCAAATCTTGTAATTATAATTTTCATTATTTGACTTCAATTTTAATGCCAGGTTCGTGCCATATCTACAAGAAAACCAACAATGTCCATAAGAGTTCCTCTATTGAGATTTACTACCAGACAAGCACCCAGTCCACAGAGAACAATATAATGTTGGAGTTGTTCTGCCAGATCATCTCAGAGCCTTGCTTTGATATTCTAAGAACACAGGAACAACTAGGTAAGATGCATTGTGATAAAGTACTAGTCTCACCTTCACTCTCTTTACCTGGCAATATACAGAGTGAAGGATAAGGGGGGGGGAGTACAGGGTCTTTTAAGCAAGACTAATAAAGTACAAGTACACCTCTAAAATTGAATCATGAAATTAGCACAATTTCAGCGCTGCTTTGCTGCCATTCCTTTTGCTAAATGTATTGATTTATTCAATCTGAAATGGCATTTTCACTGGATTATTTACAAAGCCAAAATGGCTCCACGGTGTTTTGGCTGGGTATGAACAATTGTACAGTGGTCCAGAATATTGAGACTTTCACTAGGTGATATAACTGATCAGTTTTAAAAGAAAGGTTTTCCAAATCTTTACCTCAAACACATCCAAGTATGCATACTGACATTCAATTAAAGAGTTGTTATGTTGGTATAAATGTACATAGAGCTTCAAAAATGAACAATCCTAGTGTTTTGTTTACTAAAATGTAATATATACATAACGCACATACAATATATTGTACCATATTTCCAGGTTATATTGTGTTTAGTGGTCCTAGGAGGTCCAGTGGAGTGCAGGGATTACGTGTCATAGTTCAATCAGATAAATCACCAGAATATGTAGAGAACCGAATAGAGGCTTTCCTTTGGGCAATGGAGGTAAGGGCTATTTAATTTATTTTGATGGGGATTTGTTGCTATTTACTCGTATTGTCTGATCTGTGTGAATGCAATCTACCCTCAAAGTGGTGCATACTTTGAAGACAATATGTACCAAAATCATGGAAAAAAATGTCACACAAAATTGTTAATTAAGCACAAGGATTATTTTCTTCTTTTGAATTTTATTTATTATTTTCAGAAGTACATATGTGATATGACTGATGAAATATTCAAGAAACATGCGACAGCTCTAGGTGCCCACAGATTAGAAAAACCAAAGAAACTGTCCTCTCAGAATAACAAGTATTGGAGTGAGATAGCCTGTCAGCAGTACAACTTTAATAGAGGTAAATGATATATGGATTAATGCCTCGTTGAATGTTGTTGGAAGAATGATGTTCAGTAGAACATGACTCGAATTCCAGTTTATTTTAGAAATTAAAAAACACCAAAATAAACTTACTTATACTTACTTTCAAATTGGTCAGTCATTATTATAGTCGGGTTTGAATAGGAGATAAGTTCACAGAATATTTCAAAAATATATAGAAGCAATCTTTAGGTGGATTTCAAGACTTCATACCATCCTTTTGAGAACCTGAAGTGGCACCAAGCAATCCATTGACTGTTTCACCAAAAATCCAAGATGGCCGCCATAATGTATCGGCAAATCACTAAAATTGACTAATATCATCATTTAATTTGTCAAAATAGTTAAATACTGATCAAACATGACTAATAATAGTACCTATTAGATGGTCATATGCATTTAAAGTCACTAGATTATTTTTGTGTGAAAACTGGAGTCCCACAAGGCTCAACTTTATGTCCCCTACTTTTTTAGTCAAATGACTTTCATTGACATTGGCATTTGTACATTGCAATGTACAAATAAGTGCAATAAGTGTCAATCTGGATTGCCTTCTGACCTCTCAAAAATTACAGGTATTATATTATATTATATAACTGCACCATTCTTTGGCCATAGCAAAGAATCTGCCCTTCAAGCTATGGAATGTGTTCAAGGAAGTTACTCCAGCTTTTCTACAAGTAACACAAATGGTTACAACAAACCTGACTTTGTCAGTTCATGCCATTCAGTCCCTGAAACGTTTTACTGTTCTAGTATATGATCGAACCAGCAACCAGATAGATATCAATGCAGCACGAAGGCAAATGTTCTGTGATGGCAATACAGTCATTGATAGAATGCCACCAACAAAAGGAGCCCTTGCACAGAAAATTTTAAGAACTTGCTAACCAAGGTGGTATTGTTTGGGGCCAAGTGTACAATCTCAATCCAACATAGGTATCGGAGTTCACAACATGGGGCTGGCAGTATGGCATGTCCCTCATGGTGCCACTATATACAGCCCTTCCTCAAGCAGCATGCGAAGCATTGGTCAAGTGTGGGTGCAAGATGAAATGTGGTCCTAGGTGCACATGCTACAAAAATGGATTTCTATGCATTGCTATGTGCAAATGCCATGGTCAATGCAAAAAATTGGAAAGAAAGTAGGGGACATAAAGTTGAGCCTTGTGGGACTCCAGTTTTCACACAAAAATGATCCAATGACTTTAAATTGATATGAACTTCTGATAGGTACTATTATTAGTAATGTTTGATCAGTATACAACTATTTTGACTTATTAAATCATAACTTTAGTCATTTTTATGATTTTTTGATACATCGCGGCGGCCATCTTGGATTTTCGGTGAAAAGGTCAATGGATTGCTTGGTGCCACTTCAGGTTTTCAAAAGAATGGTATGAAGTTTTGAAAACAACCTTAAAATTGCTTCTATATATTTTTGAAATATTTTCACCTAAATATTCCTGACTATTAGGCTATATAACAATTATAAAAAGTCCTAGGGTTGAAAATAGTCTAGTGGGAAATATCTTGGTACCATAGAATACCATAATATGGTAATGACCATTCAGCAATTCCTCACTCTACTCAGGATGGCTAAATGCAGGCGAGATCTTAGTTGAAATTTTAGTAGAAAAACTTTTTCAGCCTCCATAAATTAATACCATGTTAGCTTTAAGAATCAAGAACTGTATCAAACCGGAAGGCTTCCTTTTTTTAATTTTTGTTTATTTCTTTTCAGATAACATTGAAGTTGCTCATTTAAAATCTTTAACTAAAGATGATGTTGTGAAGTTCTATAAGGTATGTAACCTTAAAAATCAATAAGAACATGAACATATAATACACATCTGATTAATTCAGCCAAATGTAGTAAATCTTCAAATGTTTCATCATGTTTAATCCATGTGTTGCCTATCTTGCTAATATTTATTGTCAGTCAAGTTGGAGGTGTACAATGAAACAAAATTGTTGATCATATTAGGTTAGACTAAAGAATATGCTATTGATTTCATGGAGGTAGACTGGATAGATTGTACACCTCTGACTGGCCAATCGGGGATCCATTGCTCCTACCTCTGTTCAGTTATGAATTCACAAATCAACAGTGTATTTTGGACAACTGAAAAAGAACAACTCTGAAAGATTGGGATTAAACAGCTATATATTACATCCAAGCTATATTCTAAACTCAGTTATTTTTTCCAGGAGCTGATAAGTCCTGCTGCTCCTAAGAGACGTAAAGTATGTGTTCATGTATTGTCTACGGCACCCGGTCATGTCCCACAGGGATCAGCAGATACCACAGATGGACTCAGTGAAGTCCCTCCATTACCAGAGGTAACATACATAATATAATGAATATAATACATTGTCATTTTGTGTTTTCATTAATCATAACATGTTTAACATAATAGTGATGTCCTCCAATGAACGCTGAATATACATCTCATTAATAAGATCTTTTTTTGCATTTCATAATTAGTGTATCTTAGTTTCACTTTATTTTCTGAGATTGCATGAGAGTTCCATATTCTTCAGCTGGTTGAATTTTAGTTTTTGAAAAAGTTTGTTATGGTAATTGTTAGCACTACTAGCAACTGTTGGTGTTAATGCCTTGTTTACAATTACTAAAGTGACACAACATTAAAAAGTAGATATATGGACTGAATGTGTACTATTGTACTTTTCCAGGCTACTGTGATATACGAGGAGACAGAATTCAAAAAAGCGCATGGACTCTTCCCACTTGCGAAACCATTTGTGGACATTAAGACACTGACAGCAAAATCAAAATTATGAACCCTAGCTGAATTAAAGGAAGGCCATTGATAGAAGCAATAACCAGGAATTGAAATTGTTAAGATGTCAGGGACCACAGGGAGATATGCTGATTACTCAATTAGTACAAAATAAGCACTCTGGCAAAAGCGCACTCATGAGCACTCATGCCACGCGTGCTAATTCATGATATGAGTACTCATTTAGTGCTGAAAAATCAATTTTATCACTCATGATATGAGTAACAATTTAGCGCTAATAAATTAATGAAATTACTGCTATTTTATCACTCATTATTTGTACAAAAACATGCAATAAAACAGTACTCATGTCATAAGTGCTAACTTAGTACTGATATTTACTGAAATGAGTACTCAATTAGCGCGAATATGCCATGAGTACTATTTTAGTACTCGGCATATCTCCCTGTGACAGAGAGGACTTGAGAATGGACTAAGATAACAAACTCATAATGAAACTCAAAAAAGTCATGGACATGATAGATGCCATATGGATTGTATATTCAATTATAATAGCACCAAATAAGATTGATAATAGAGACTTTACAAGATCTTTTATAACTCATCTATAAGTTAAAAGGATCATTGGGATTTTACTCATTTATATATTCATAATAATATATAGTTTAAAACTTAAGCAAAATCTCTAAATTATATTTTGTAAATCTCTAGTTTATATTTAACATTCTAACATGATATGTGATGTCACAATGACGAGAACAATTGATTTATTGGTCTATATTGGGGTATGTATGACCTGTAAATTTCAATATAGACTAAAAAATGTAATGACTATTACAATTGCATACTGACAACCCCTCTGAACCAATCTAGTCACAATATAGACATGACACATGTCAATATGTGACGTCAGTTTCATTATTGATATTTTTGCAAACTATTTAGCTAGGAGGAAATCCGGTAAATAGAATGTCCAAAACATTAGAATTTTTCAGATTGAAAATAATCAAATCGGAAGAAACGTAGGTTTTATCATGTTAGAATCGTAACAAAGACCTCGATTCTATGATTTATGGCAAATACATGACCTTAAATTTTATTCTGCCCATTGCCAAAGACCTCAATCGCTACGATTTCGGTCTTTTAACAATGCACAGAATAAAATTTTCGGTCATATATTGCGCCATAAATCATAGAATCTCGGTCTTTATTCCTTAATTTTAAGTTTAATAAAGCTTGGGAAAGTACTTTTATCACACTCCTATAATGTTGTAAGAATAGAAAGTCCTCAAAGGTAGGAAAAATGATTACTTTTGTATTTTGATGTCCTCTGACCTCTGATATATGTTGTTATTCATTGACATATGAAGACATTGAGTATGTCGCTCTGCTTTCTTTATAGACAATACATATCATTTTTTGTGGTTCATTATATAAATAGGTAAATGCTAATTTATATTTGGGTTTAATGATTTTAATCATAGAAAATATGCTCATGGATCTCTATTCCTAGGACATCACTCCTGGGACCTCTATTACTGAAGTCATCCAATATGTATAGCAGTCACCTTAACTTACAGGGATTTACCCCTATTAGTAATCTATAAATGTAATCAGTGGTCACTGACCATATGTTGTATTTTATTTGTTTATTTATAATGTTCAGTTTAAGAAAATTATATAAGTTAATGTACAAATGACATTGAAAGATGTATTTTTAACTCATATTTATTCAAAACTTATTGTACTTTATACACCTCAATATTACAGATTAGTGAATCTCTTGAGTGTTTGAAGCAATCATATTGCTCCTGTTTTGATTTGCTAAGGGATGGCCCATGATTGATTATTTGTTTTTGATAAAACAGTAATATAAATGTATCTGAATTCTAATTTTGGCCTAGTCCAGAAACATGAGAAAACAGATTGTTCTTGATTTAGTTGACTATTCATTTTGGTAATTTTACCTTTGATCATCAAGGAATGAAAATTCTGGACGAGTCTAGAGAATTTATCATGAGATTTTGTGAAAATCATATGCACAAATTCAGCATGTTTTACAGTTCTCAGGTATCAGAGTATTTTTGTGAAATATCCAAATGAATTAAAGTCTGTGAAAATTATAGAGCTTCCCCACTTGGGAAATATTGTGCAGTAAGGAAAATGAAACAATAAAGTGTGCTACAAGTGTGCTGGTAGCACATGACAAATAATGAAATGTGTTTTTCTAGCTGAGTAATCCAAGATATTCAAACAAGGCTTTTAGAATTTCAGCAATTTATTTTTTTGGATTTTCTGTAGTTAGAATAAATCACCAGTTAAACCAATCAGGGCTTCTAAATCCTATATGAACACAGAGATTGATTACTAAATAAAAAGTAACAAAATATAAGGCTGAATTTTATCACACACATCTTTATTTACTTTAAAACAAAAATCCAGAATTGATTTAAAAATAAAAAATCAAGGTCATGTTAGAGTTCAATAGGGGACTTAAAGCTGGTCAAGATCCGAGGAAATCCTGGTCCACTGAAACTTTGGGATAGAAATCCCTGGTATTGAGGTACCCTGAACTAAAATACATTGTACATCTTAAGGTAATATAGAAGGTGATGTCTCGGATATTACTTTGAGGAAATAATACACAATGACTCCTAGCCAAAGAAATCTAAGTTCAACCAAATCCCTGGGATACAATGATGTCAATAATTGTAATACTACATTTGCTACTATAATTCAACAGCTATGGCTCATTGGCAGGGCCATGGTTACACAATCGCTTGGTCTCCGGTTCGATTCCCAGTTCTGACAAAATGTGTTATGTATTTCTGGGTGTTTGACGAGTGGTCCACGACTCATATAAGACATGTAAAGGTGTATACTTGTATTTCTGTGCACCAGTGCACTTAAACGATCACAGGATCCTTCAAGAAAGGATTTCTGACACTGTCTTAAAGTACAAAATACATAAAATATGGAATACACCAATGGTGGTAACCAAAATACAATACAATGCAGATTGTCGGCTGAAGTTATTAATATGATTTTTAATAATCATGTCAGTAATACTACCTAGGCATTAACATGGAAAATGTCACCACCTGCCATTTGTCACAGATTCCGAACATCAACCACCAAACACCAACTGCCACCTCAAAAATGTTTGGGACCATAACAATCCCACATTTGGTGGTGACATGAAAACTGATAAAATAGGTGTCAATTGCTGCCAATAGGTTAATTGTTAAAATGGCAGTTAAGTTAATTAATGTTAATCAATTAATATAAAATTAAAGTTTAAGTCAAATGCAGCATAATGTAGATCAATAACTTTGATTGTTCGCAGCATAAGATAATATTGCCTCATTCAAATTATCTGAAATGCAAGTTGTTCTAGTCTGCCTTCTTCTTTTCACCGAATCCTAGTGATTTCCAAATCATGGTAAATGTCTCTGTAAATATCAAAGTTCCTCCAAACACAAGAGTCGCTCCCATCCAATGGTTTGTAGTGAATGGGTTTTTAAAGTACATTATTGAGAATATGAGACTAACAAACTTCCTCAGGGTGACTACTAAGGTGACAGTCAGAGACTGACATTCTGTTGTCAATATGAACACAGATCTTATGCAGATGTATCTGAGAAAACAGTTAAGAAAACAACTAGGTATAAATACAATGGAGCAGTCACATAATAAAACAAGGCATTAACAAAGAAAATGTCACCACATGCCACTTGTTACAGACACTGAATACCGAATGCCAAACATCCATCGCAGAACACCAAGTTGGAAACTATAACAATATGTCAACACTCATGGTGGTAACATAGTAAAAATGGTAGAACTGAAAATCATGAGATATCCTACTAAAATAGTACATTATATTTGAACAGGTTTTAGTCTAAAAGGATACTGTGTGATGACATTCCCAGCCAGGTACAGCCAGAGACATGGTATAGGGATCCCTAGTACATTAATTGGCTCTGAAAAAGAACAAATTAAATGTATATATAGATTAATCTTAATAAAAACAGTAATATATGAGACTAAAACGATATATCACACTTCCAAATATTCAATGCACAAAAATCATATCAGAAGTATTTCATCAAATAATGATGTTGACTCAAAATAGGTGAGCCAAATTCAAATTGATGAGGAAAAAGAGTCAAAGGGGACATAATATAATCAAAAGAGTTCATCTTCATACTTTCAATTCAAAAAATGCATAAATTCGTATTTTGCTGAAATGTAGATGAAGAGTGCACCCTTTGTAAGAACTCAACCATATTAACACTCTGAATGTCTCCACTATATAAATATGAGACAATTCCTCAATTTAATTAGTTTACTTCTGAGTTCATCACAATACTAAAGTTCCTAAAAGTAGCTAAAATTAATCTCACATTCTATAACTCTCAAAAATGGCAATGAAAATTACATTTGGGATCATTAAAAGTACCCAAATCTTCTGCAATTATCAGAGGCTAGTGTGGCCAGCTGATAGGGAAACAGGGTGATAAAGAATGCTACCTGAATTGTTGAACTCTACGGCAGTTGAATATATATCCGTTGAGAGCAGTAAGAACCCAGGCAGAGGTAGAGCATGCTGAAAAACAAATATGAACAATTTACTTATTTCATTCATTTTAAAGCTTAGGACTAAAATGATGAGATAAATTAGCGACTGATATAACTTTAATAGGATGGTACTATTATACCAAATCTTAAGAAGATGTCTTTTCAAATTGGCATAACCTAAATATGTGCATGACCTAAAAAAGTACTTATCAAAATAAACTTGTCTTATAAAAATGTCTTATCAAATGGGTATAATCTAAATAAGATATCTTATCTGATGGACTGAATTTAAAAAAGATAGTATCATCTTATCGAAAGGGTGTAATCAAGATATGATATGATATCAAATGGGCTTAACCTTTCGAGACTTATGATTAAACTTATTAAAGTTAGAAATGATTAAAAACATGCTCATTCAACAAATGTTCTTGTAAATAAAATAGGTACATATCTAGTGAAATGGTAGTTAATAAATTCACTCGACTTACATTGTAAAACAAGGCCTCTTTAGGGTGTTTGCCCCACTTTGCATACATTGTCTCCTGGAAGATACCCATTCTGGCTGACATGAACAGTGCAAACAGCAACATTGAGATACCTGTGGGGGACATCAATGCAATTTTTCAATAGTTGAATAAAATAATGATTAATAATCAATCAATATTTAAATTAAAAAAATCATTTGTTCAGAAAATGGAAATTGTTTAAGTGTCTTTGTTTTTTTTTGTTTTGTTTTTATTCATAGAATTTATTTTACAAATACATGTACATAAAGTACATAAACATTATACACTTGTAGTGGCTTTGTTGAAGGCATTATCAGCCACTTGATTAATAATTGCAGACTGAAGAAAAAAGAAAAATTTAAATATGGACTCAAGAGTGAAGTGAGTGGTGGCAGGGAAACCTACACATTTGCACACTTTTCTTTGTTGCAGACAGAGAGGGGACAAGGTCTGCCATTTACATATATAATATTCTTGATAGACCTTAAAGGTATTACAATGAGTTAATTAATATAAGCTACCATACCTATAAGCCATCTAGTGTATTCATATAATTTATCCTCTGCACTTTCAGAGCTACTGCCATGTGATTTCTGAAAACATTTGCGACATATTGAGTACATCATGTTGAAGACAATACTGTGTGGGAATTCAGTATTCAAAAGGCCAAAGTGAGAGAAAATATTGTACAGTATCGGGAATTAAATTAAGTAATGAATTTGATGATATGTTTACTAAGTAGTCTTTTAAGAATCAGGGGGTTTACTAAAGCTCCTGAAATGTTTAGATATTAATATTGGGGGAAAATTAATCTGAAAAAGAGGCAAATATGTATTCTTATTTAATGAAATGGAATTTGAGAGTACACATTTTTTCAACTCTGGAAATCCACCCAAATTTTTTCAACAAGTGTTTACAAATGTGTACAAATTGAGACAATTGTGACACAATATATAGGGGGGGGACTTCATACGTACCACATCCCCAGCTGATGCTATAGTGCAGATTGCTATACCAGCAGAGATCATCAATACTGATAGGTACTTTGATAGTTTATACCTAGAAATAAACAATATCATCTTTAGTATTCATAATTTTCTATCCAAATTCTCAATTATGAAAGAAGACCCCCTCAATCCTCTCTAAATAAATCAATTTTACAACTACAAGTTCTGGTCATTTTTCTTTGGCACTGTGCTTAAATCTTTACATGAAAAAAACTGTTTACTTTATTCACAGTTTATATATCAACACTGATCCTATCCTGTGCATGTTACATCACATAGAAGTAAATTAAAGGGATTGCAAAAATAATTTTTACATGGATGAAGTACATGGTCAAAATACAAAACATCAAAGGTAAATTTGTTCAAATATTGAAATCAAACAAAATACAAACAAATTGCGTGCCATTATCTGTGTACATGCACACAGAGTTTCTTCTAACCTTACCTTTTCTTCAGGAGTATTATTCCAAGCACCATGTTTGCCATAAGAGAACCCTAAAAGTAAATTTGAAGGTACAATCATACTTAAATCAACTGTCAATCAAGATGCACTTTTAAACTCAATTTCAACTGAAACAACAGTTATTTAGGAAATATTAAATGTGTTTTATATATATTTATATACAACATTTACAGGAACTATATTATGTGAGGTCCAAAGTTGACTATTGAAGAGTTATACCTCGTACTGAGACACCATGTATAAAGAGCATATCCTATGATTAATGAGTGATATGATTTTTATCCACAATTGGATTTGATATCTGCACAAGCAAGCATAGCGAGAGAGTGGAGATATCAATGTATGGGTTGAATAAAAGTCATATCATGAGTAAATCGTAGTATGTTCTTTTTATATGTCTCAAGTACTGACTAATGTATACCATCCAATTTGCGATTTTATGGAAAAACCTCCCCAGAAAGAAAGAACTACCCCATGCTCATGAGTAAATCGTAGTACACTGTATGTTCTTTTTGTATATCTCAAGTACTGACTAATGTATACCATCCAATTTGCGATTTTATGGAAAAACCTCCCCAGAGAGAAAGAACTAGCCCATGACGAGACAGCTAAAAATTTATTGAAATTGATGACCTTAAGCAACATTAAGCTGTTGATGGAAAAGAAATTAAACAGTACCAAATTCAGGTTATTGTGAAAATGTGTCATGGTTTAAAGTGTCAGTTTCCTTTTTATAAATTTCATCATGAGAATACCTTCAAAAATATGAGACACAAAACATGCAGGAAATAAGCTATGTGTTCTGTTAAAAGTATGTTAGATTTTTAGTAAAAGCACTAGCAGAGTGATAACTCATGCATTAAAGCAACAGAAGCTTGTTTTATTGGTATCTTATATGATTATGTTACTGATGATATCATTCATTTTCACCAGGATATACTTGACTGAACTATTGTAAAAGTATTTACCTTAATGAAGATGAAAACAACATTTGGCACAATGACACTTTAGAAAAAAATGAGTGACTAGGGTAAAGCACAAAGGATAAAATCATAATACAAATTATAAACAGGTATACCTTATACATTTACTAATAAATAAAAAATACTGATACACAAATGTACAAATGACTGATATACTGATAAATATCATGTTGTGACTCATGCATAATTTTATTTAAAGCATGGTATTGTAATGACCTATGGGCACTTGTCCGGGTAACTGTAGTGGAATGAGCCAGATACAGACCTGGAAGGGAGTGTGCTAAATTCAATGCCCCATGCAGGAATCGAACCCAGGATCTTCCGCTCCAGCGTCTGATGCTCTACCGCTTGAGCTATCAAAACTTAAGTCAACACAGCTGAGCTGTAGTAGCAACTTGCTAGCCAGGGATTCGTTTTTGGTCCGATCGTAACTTACAATTCTGCGAAAACCATTGTCCAACAATGACCGAAACGTCAATTACGACGGTTATAATTTATGACGAACAATGACCGAATCGTACATTTACGATGGTTCCAAAAAACAAACCCCAGGGTCTTTACACCATGAAGCATTTGGTCAACCATGATTTGTAGACTTAATTTTACTTTTATGTTACTTACAGCTCTAAATATCATGTGCAACGGTGGGGATATGTTGAAACTAAAGGCCCAGTTGTTTATAACTTGCACAGCAAAGAACATAAAAACCATAATCAAATAGTTTCTGAAAATACATGAATTGAATTTGTGGGATGAGCACTGGGTAAAGCAAAAAAGCATATGTCTAAATAGCATCTGCAAAATATACACCAGTGGTCTTCTCAAAGATTCCAAGCCTTTTTACACACAATGAGTTTCATAAACTTCTAGGTCATCTACCCCATCTTCATTTCAAAAAAAATTGTTGAGAAAAGGTTCTCAGAAGGTTTTTTAGAATAAAGCCTTTTTCTCGCTACCTACCCACAAAAAGAAATAAATGATATGTGGAATTTAGAGAGAAATCAGAGACAGTTCATTACTGTGAGATAATCATTAGCGATATATGGGGGGGGGGGAGGGGGGTATACACAACCAATCTCTAACAGTACCATAGAGTACAATTTTAGCTAACTGTAAAGTACCACAATGCATTAACATGACAAAATGTCACCACCTAGTTGCCCACAATATTATGAGTTCAATCTAAGTTAGATTTGAACTTCTGAGAACTTGTGGATGATTCTTGTAAAAAACTTTTGCCAATATTTCACCACTTTTGGTGGTGACATAATAAAATATGGTACGTTGACTTAAACAGTACCATACCATCCTGCGACTTTACACTGTACAACATCATACTCGAATGGTAGCCTTAATGTACCATACAGTACCATGATTTCAGAGTGTAGGTTGGAGGTGTTTGTAATTAGTAAGCAGGTGAGTAAGTGAATCAGTTTGTTTTATTGTTCCACAAAAATGCACAGATTATTTAAAGGGGTAATAAAGGTTAGATCATTACCACTCCTAAAATACTCCTATGCTATACATCACAATCTCTAGTGATATACAGGGTGATCCAAAAAGTTTCCATTTTTGATAACATTTTCCTTTCAATAAAAATGCTACTCTATCAAAAATAGATGGTTCCAGTTTGGACCACCCAGTACATGCAGTAGTAGTAGTATATGTACTGGATACATAATCATGTATTAATCAGAACAGACAGCCACAATAATAGAGAAAAATTAATGGAGAAAATCACTTAGCATTGAACAAGCAATGATAACTTAATATTTAATGGACAAAGGGTGGGGTCTGGTGCTCTCTTAAATAAGTTTTATGAAAAAATTGATTTTTAACCAGGCCCGTGAAGAACCGGATGGTTATTTAAACAAAGAGATATAAACAATTGAGATATAGAAAACAAGTAAACTATGAAAACACACAAAACAGTGCAGACTTGCCAACCTCAAATAAACTAGTTTTTGTGTTGTTATATTAGGACTGTTGCCAGAGCGAATTTTTATGCAAATTATTACATAAATGCAGCAAAGACACCCCCGGTAATTGGAAGAAATGAACGAAGGGGGAGGGGGAGTAGCTGATTTTCGCTAGAAGACCTAACATATTTCCCAGTGCCGTGCACCTATTCGTTTAGCAATTCAATTGTAAACTTTCTCTTGAAAAATAAATCTTCCAGATTTGTAGAATTTTCTAGCTAAAATCAGCTACTCCCCCTCCGTTCATTTCTTCCGATCACCTGGCGCGATAGAAAAAAGAGAGAGTGTAATATTGAAAGTAATATTTTCAAGAAGCTCGCTAGTGTGTCCATTGCAACAATTTTACTTATATATTGAACATTTTTATGCCAAGAAAGTAGGTGTTCACTACAGAGAGGGTACTTTATACAGAAGTCAGTAAAGTTTGTGTGGAGAAAGGTGTCCACTAAAGGTGTTCATTGGAGAGATGGTAGTCACTACAGAAAGGGTACTTTATACAGAAGTCAGTAAAGTTTGTGTGGAGAAAGGTGTCTACTAAAGGTGTTCACTGGAGAGATGGTGTTCACTACAGAAAGGGTACTTTATACAGAAGTCAGTAAAGTTTGTGTGGAGAAAGGTGTCCACTAAAGGTGTTCATTGGAGAGATGGTAGTCACTACAGAAAGGGTACTTTATACAGAAGTCAGTAAAGTTTGTGTGGAGAAAGGTGTCTACTAAAGGTGTTCACTGGAGAGATGGTGTTCACTACAGAAAGGGTACTTTATACAGAAGTCAGTAAAGTTTGTGTGGAGAAAGGTGTCCACGAGAGGTGTTCACTGGAGAGATGGTGTTCATTAAGACAGGTTTTACTGTACTACCCTTTTGATCAGAGCCTAGTATATTAAGAAGAAATACAATTAAACTTTTTGAAGTAGTAATTGAATATAGAAGTTGAAATATTATTAGAGACACACAAAAAAGTATGATATCAGCCAAAACATAAGTGACAACCATCATTTTGAGATATTGACACAAAATAAAACCGTGGTATGATTTCAATTTTTCTATTTTACCAGAATATTCCAAGAATTGGCAAGTCAGCAGAAACCATTGTTATATTAAATATGTAAATTAGAACCTAGTACTGTGATCATGCAACCCGTGTATGCATAAAACTTACTGCACGGAATATCATGTGTAAAGGCATGGAGATGTTGAAGCCGATGGCCATGTTGTTTACAACTTGTACAACAAAGAACATGGAAACCATAAAGAAATAATTGCTGGAAATAGATGGAAATTTGAACAATAATCCATCAGTAATTAGAGGATAAACAATTCAAAAAGGATGATGGACTGAATAATTAAATAGTAAATCTAGTAGTCTCAAATTATTTTGTTTATCTTATATTTTAAATATCGATATGCTTACTATTTCTACTTACTTCATAGGAATGGCAGAACTTTTCCTGCCAAAATCTGCATAGAAGACAAACCCCTCGAGAGCAATAAATAAGAACTGAGCAAATGTCACAATGTTTCCTGAGTTGCTGTTACCCCTAAAACATAAAAAAATATTAACAACATTACATTTATTACATACAACAACTAAATTTCATCTTGGAAAAGCCATATCCTTATTTAATTTTCATTTCTTTTGAATGTTGTCTTATGATGTTTGTCTGATAATTGTAGAATGAAATTGTTTCATATTTGCCATAGAGGCATAGCCAGCTTTTAGTCAGGGGGGTGCGATCGCCAAAGAAATTTCGGTTTTCAGTCAGGGGCGTATGATCTTGGCATAAGCAACCCAAAGAAAATTTAGATTTGTTTTGAATTTTACAAAAATTGATGTAACTTCCTTCAAAGTTGAGCTAGAAGCTTCAAATAAAAAGCATTTTAAAGCTCTTTTCTTCCTCTATCTAATGGTTATATTTCCATTGGTTAAGGGGGGGGGTGCGATCACACCATCACAGCCCCTCCTGGTTATGCCTATGCGCCATATACATACACAGCAAGTGATAATGAACCAGACTGGTTCAATAGCGTGACAGACTCGGTTCAATAGTTATTTTTGAATTCAAGTTACCTATAACTGGCTATCTATTTTTTTGTGTCATCATTGTGTTTTTTTTATGAAATCAGTGACATTTTGGAATGTTTGGAACTCCTCAAATAAGCATTAAAGCAATAGGGATGAAAAGGTCAGGACCCGTGAAGAGGAATAAATAAATCTAAATCTGAATTTTGAATTTTCACAAGAAACTTAGCCCATCATACTTGTGTCGCACGAAAGAAGGTTTCAGTAATCAAAATATCATTAATTTATCAACAGGAAGTCAGGTCTTATGCTTGTTTTAAGTCCAAGAATGGGGAGAATATGAAGGCTCACAGGCAAAGATAAACAACATTTTTTTAACGTTTAATTTTTTGTTGGTGATTTCTGATCTGCTCTTTATAGTTCTTGTAGTTAGAGAATACATGGTCTCTATCTTTCAGGTAAGCCAATAGATGTCAGGTGTTGATACAAGTTCCTGTGAGATTATGCGTACATATGTTATGTCCCAAATGACAAAACCATCAACTGAAGTAATGATTACGCAATTTTGGATAGATTTTATTGTCTTTTGCAGAGAAGTCCGGTAATCACAAACTAAAGGGTGCTACCCAACTTTTGACCCAACTATCCGTTAAAAGTGTTAAGTCATGAGGGTTATCATTCATAATATCAATAGGCTATCCTGGACCCTCCTTGGAGAGAAGATGGTATAGATCATGATTTGGGCTTGCCCCAAATCATAACTGCATACTGACTGTGGAGTAAGGGCAAAGGGGTGTAACGCCGAGACTAGAAATGGTGTAAGTTTGACACTTCCTTATTAGAAATTAGGATTTCCGATTTCTTATTTAAAAAAACACCTTGAGATCTCGATCCAAATCGAGAAGTGAAACATGGCTTCCACCGAGAGAATAAGAACAAATAAACAACAAGGTGTCAAAGTTACCCCAGAGTCGTAGTTACCCCAAATAGAAACGAAATGGTGTCGACGTTATATCCCTTCGCCCTAACATAGTCTAGATCTATCTAGATCTAGGCCTAACAGTAACACTAAAATAAAAAAAATAGACTCTGATTAGGCAGAATATTATGAAAAAATACTACTTACTTGACCAATAATTCAAGGAATACGACATTACTACAGCATCCTATGAACACCAAGGCTATGGGAACCGCTGGATGCATATTGGACGACAAGAAACTGACTAGAAGAATGTCCAACTAGAAAAAATTGAAAAACTTAGACCGGAAGTGACTTTTAATTGAATCATGACAATAAACATATTGTTATTCTTTTTTCCTAGATATCAATTAAATGAGGCTCATAAAATTATATATTTATTTATCTTATATTATTTGAACCATAATGTAATCCAAAAAGACATACTAACATGTATCGTTTACAGATTATATGCTTTGAGATAACTCTAGATTTTTCGAAATGCACTCTGGGAATGGCCTAATGAAAATGTTACTTTTTCGATGAAAGATTCTCTAAAACGTGCATATATCTCATAATTTCGACAACAATACAGGATATATACAGTTCCCATGGAGAATTAAGTACTGATTGCAACTTTTAAAGTCGTAAGTAAAAAAATCTAATGATTGCTTCAACTCCCAATTTAGTGTTGAAATTTGCTGTGCAATTGCACTTTGTAGAGTCAAGAGGGAACAGTCTTTTTTTCTTTCACTTGACTTTGACTTATGAGTTTGCTCCTTCAAAATGATTAAGGCTGAGTTTATGCTAGATTCTGTTTGTTACTCAATTTGAACGTTGCCATAGCAACTATCTGGTTAAAATTTGCTTCAATACCATAGCATGGGTATCTGATTTTTTAGAAAATTGAAAGATGAATATTTGTGACAGGTGTGAAATTATTTATTTATTCGTAAAGGCTAGAGTACCGACAATTGTCGGTACTCTAGACTCTGATGTGGTGGCACGCTAGAGGACCGACAAATAAATTGTCGGTACGGGAGATATGCTGTGTTTACACGCTAGAGGACCGACAAATATTGATTTTCGAATTTTCTGGCGCATGCGCAATGCGCGGGGGGATATTTCAGATATCATACGGATATTTCGGGAACAAGTGCAAAATCCGGGGAGGGCATTAGCCCCAGTTACCCGGGGATTACCAAACCCAGTCAAAAAATGGTAGCCCGGGAACGGGGAATGGTAGTAAACGTTGAAAACCCAATAAAAAACATGAACAAGTAAGACGTTAGAGAGCTATTAATGCAGAGTAAACGGCTATATATATTCTAAACAGACAGGATATTTCTCCTGAGCCGATCAGGCGTAGAAAGAGGCGTTTGCTACCCATTAAATAGAAGAAAATAGCTAGAATGTATTTATTTGAAGCTTATGGTATGAGGTTCCATATCCATCCGCCAAAAGGTATGACCCCTATATAGTCCATTTAAAAACCTGTGGTATCATACTAAATAACCCATAGTTGGCTTCTAGGGTACCTAGTATGCCACTATTTGGTATCAAAATAAAGAGAAGTTCAACTTTCATTTGAATTACGAAAATAGGGATGTAGGTGAAAATAGTTCCAAACGTGAGCATGTTTACTACGTGTTTGCTCGTCATATCAGAATTGAGGAAGTGGTAGCAAACGCAAGTTACAATAAACGGACGCTGATATCTCAAAAAGTAACCTGACTCCCTATAATTTGATGTAGGTCAATCGAACCCCTATATGGACAGGTGCATTTTGATATATAACACTATGGGGGGTAAGCGTTTCATAGTTGGTCACGAATGCCATGTGTGCAAAGTATTGTTATGAATTTTCGAATTCGGTGTTGGATTACGGTACTCATACCTTATAGCACAATTTTTGATGGAAGTTGCATTTGGCTCCCTTAGTTAATGGCCACGATTCCATCTCCCATGAGAGAGCTACCAAACGCAAAGTAAACAGTGATATATTCCAAATGAGATATTTCTCCTGTGCCATGGCGTAGTAAGGGTAGAGAGCGACGGGGGCGAAAGTATCCCCTCCCCTAACTGTATATATCGACCATTAGATAGAATAAGAAAAGAGCTTTAAAATGTTTTTTAATTGAAGCTTGTAGGACAATTTTGATGGAAGTTGAATCAATTTTTGTCGAAATAAATTATGGCTCACTACAATTGTTAATGCCTGTACGATTCCATACTGCAAAAGAAGCACTATGCCCCCCCTCAAAAGAAAAAAGTGGGTCCTGCCGGGATTCGAACTCGGGACCGAGTGTGTTCGAGTCCTGCTCCCTAACCACTAGGCTACCAGTGATGAGGTTATTTCGAATGTAAAAATAGTGGATCTATTCATGAAATTGTCGGCTCTCTAGCAAAAACACGTAGCAGCCACTTGCGTACCGACAATTGTCGGTTCTCTATCTGGCACTACTAGGTGACGATAGAGTGCCGACAATTGTCGGTACCCCAGCAAATACCCCTGGACAGTCTCCAGTACCGACAATTGTCGGTCCTGGAGCCACTCTGTTATTTATTTTAGAATTGATATTGAGCTTGAACCACAAATTTCTTGCTTTTTGGGCCAAAACCCGGCTCATGGACATGACCTCATATCTTTTTATAGATCGCCTAGAAATGTTAAAAATGAAACAAATGAAAATGCAAATATCAATATGCAGTGAAAATGATTGGATAATCTCACTAGATGTCACTGATTGAGCCTACTGTTCAATGATGTTTGAGACTCTAATGAATCTGAAGTTATCAGTTTAAGATATGTCTTCTTCCTTATTTAAGAAATAAAGACCGAAGAGCAGGTGCAATCGCACCCCCTTGGCTATGCTTAATGCATTGGCACTCCAATTCTGCCTTTAGTTGGTACTGGTGAATCAGTATGAACTATATTGCCACTTGTACTTCATATACTTGACAGCTGATTCAAATATAGAGAAAAAATGTTTTTTGTAAATATAGAATATATGACTTATCTGTATTACTTCTAATTTTCTGATTCTGAATCGAGTTGTTTGCTGATTTTTACCTCCTATTCATTTGAAAAGCTTTTGTGGAAGTGATGGAGAATTGAATGTAATGAATCAATTATTATATGACTTCAGCTTGAATTGAATTGGGAGGGAGGGGGGGGTTTCTGATAATTTCTGAAAGTTTGTGGTATGTTTTAGTCTTGAGTTTTTATTTCACTGACCTATCCAAGGAGCCCCCTTAGGTGGCTAAAATTAAAAGGGATTTAAATTGGCTATTGTTGAAAAAGGGTCTATATTTTGAAAAGAGCAAACGTGCAAAAATACCAAAGAATCTGTTAAGTCAAAGTTCACCTATAGATATTTTTGCAAAGGCTAATTTTTGGCTTTGGCAGAATTTAAGCAAATTTGGAAGAATTTATGCAAAGGCAAAATTTCAAATTCTAACAAATCAGCAGGAATTAATCTAATATAATGAAAATGTTTAAGATTTTCACCAAATTCATTGGAAGTTGGCTTGAAAAAAAATTGAGGAAATTATTACAACCACCTTAGTAACTCCTGGCTATACCTGTGCCAATAATATTATGTGATAATGAGATACCATTGATAAGGCAAGAGATACCATTCATTAGACAATGGATGCAGCATGATACAATGTGTCAAAGTCAAGCATAGCACACAAATCTCTCTTTAAAAAAAGCAAAAAAATGTTAGAAAGTGTAGCAAAATGAATGGAAAAAGTCAATAAAAGATATATATATATATACATGTAATAAAACCTATGACTATTGAACATTTTTTTCTAAGGAAAAAAGTCAGTGTTGGTAGGTGTTCACTATAGAGGCTAATTTGTATAGAAGTCAGTAGAGTATGTGCAGAGAGTGTCTCACATTAGACAGAATATGTTCATTAGACAGGTGTTCACTGAGTCAGGTTTTACTGTGTATTTAAAACAGTTTGGAGATCCCTCTAAATGATGTGAGATTTTAGTAAAAAAAGAGAAATTGTCTGCCTATTGTCTGCTGCAAATTAAACTCTTGTGATATCAAAAAGTCATTATATTAATCACTGGTATATCTTGCTTTTGTCAGTTCAACACTATAGTATTTGGCAGTACATGAAGGTTAAGCCAGTCATATGAAATGTAAAAAACATGCTACATGTTACAATCTGAACTTATCTCAATAAATGACGTCTTTGAAATTGCTTTATCTTTTGAACTGTTTCAAGATCACCCTAATATAGCAGTTAAAGTCCTGTTCCTGCCTTTCTAAACATGTGTTTCACATGTGTTTTTTGTTTTTAATTATCCCACCAAAGACGTTTCAAGATTGAAAAGTCTTCTGTCCATTAAGTCAACAGTAAGACAGGATGAAGTCGTTTTGACCTGACAATCCCTTTTTATCATCCACATGTTCAAATGGCTATTAGGTTCAAAAGACTTACACATGAATTTTGCTCTAAAGTAGTTTACAAATTGTCACAAAATATCACTGTTTAGGTAATAACTCAAACACTGTTTGTCAGATCTCAGGTTCATATTCCAGATAGTTAAAGAAGCCAGTCAGTTAGTCAGGAGTTTTCATCTTGAAATAAAGTTTCACTTTGAATTTTTATTCTGAATGAATATGAAATATAATACATATGGCGGATAATTCCTGTTAAGTACCAATGCCTACCTATACATCGTTGATTCAATCCCTAAATCAACACCAAATGTTTTTTTCCAGTTCAGCTAAATAACGATTTTGTCATAAAATCAACAAATTAATACCTTAATACGAGAGTCAGAATCTGACAGTTGGTCTATAGATACATTAACATGAACCACACCTCCCAATTTAGTAAAAATTATCAAGCAGTACCATAATTTCTCTTACTTACAGACATATTTTACTTGAATTCTTTTGAAACATCATGTTACTAATCATTTCTAGATTTTCTCAGATGAGAATAAGGCCTATTTAACAAAATGTCCAAAGGACTTGGTTCATATTATATGTACTTTAATTTAAAAAAAAGTTTTATTTCAAGCGGAATTATTTTGATTTCAAGAATGTTCAGCATGACACTCACTTCTGGATCTACTTTTTCCCTCATTGCAACACAAGAAAAAGCTTGAAAATATTTTATTTTCATTTAAGAGCCCATGGTCTTAAGATACTAAAAATTGGCTATAACCTTGATCCATTTATCAGTTTTGGTTAATAGCTTATATATGTAGTATCTTGTCGTGCAACTATCGGTATACTTTGGTTAGTGTTAATATTTCTTTGGGTGCTTTGACCTACCATAATTCTTTTCAGTGCACTGAATAGATTTT